ATAAACTTTTTTTTCACTTTTGTGCACCCTGACCCACTTGCTGCTCCCTTTATCTCTTTGTTTGTTAATCCTTATTATGTACATGTACTTGTCTCTTGCTATGCTGTATTGTATTTGTGCTTTTTATATATGAATGGTCGAATAAATAATAATAATAATAATAATAATAATATCATTTCCTCTTTCTATCGGCTTTTCTTATGTTATTCTTTGTTTCTTCCTTCTATCACCTTATTTTATGTTATTCTTTGTTTTTATCATTCTATCACTTCCTCTGTCTCTCCTTATGTTATTCTTTGTTTCTTCCTTCTATCACCTTCTCTTATGTTATTCTTTGTTTTTATCATTCTATCACTTCCTCTGTCTCTCCTTATGTTATTCTTTGTTTTTTCCTTCTATCACCTTCTCTTATGTTATTCTTTGTTTTTATCATTCTATCACTTCCTCTGTCTCTCCTTATGTTATTCTTTGTTTCTTCCTTCTATCACCTTCTCTTATGTTATTCTTTGTTTTTATCATTCTATCACTTCCTCTGACTCTCTTTATGTTATTCTTTGTTTCTTCCTTCTATCACCTTTTCTTATGTTATTCTTTGTTTTTATCATTCTATCACTTCATCTGTCTCTCCTTATGTTATTCTTTGTTTCTTCCTTCTATCACCTTCTCTTATGTTATTCTTTGTTTTTATCATTCTATCACTTTCTGTCTCTCTTTGTGTTACTCTTTGTTTCTTTCTTCTGTCCCCTTCTCTTATATTATTCTTTGTTTTTATCATTCTATCACTTTCTGTCTCTCTTTGTGTTACTCTTTGTTTCTTTCTTCTGTCCCCTTCTCTTATATTATTCTTTGTTTTTATCATTCTATCACTTCCTCTTTCTATCTTTCCTTATTTTTATTCTTTGTTTCTTCCTTCTATCACCTTTTCTTATGTTATGCTGATTTAATCACCTGATCTAAAAAAATTGGTCACGTGACCAACGAAAGCACCGACGTGAAAAATCGAAAGCACTGCCGCGAAGGGAACTGACGTGAGTTGCGCAACGTCTTCACGTTCCAGTACCTCGTAGTAGCCGACGTCGGGTGCCTAAATCGAAAGCTTGCTATTAAGGCGTCACGTGACCCCCCCCCCCCCCCGGGTGGTATAAAACCTTCGACCAACGGTGGGAAATTCAATTGCTAATCGGAAATTAATGATGCTTAGAGCAGGGGCGTCGGACCGACTTCAAAAATTGGGGGATGGGACAAACAAAAAAGGGCACTTTCGGGTAAAAAAAAAAAAAAAAAAAAAGCACCTACGAAGGGAAATCTCAAATCGAATATATACAATTTGTTAGACATTGGTATGTACACATATACATTGTGGTTAACTTAACAGGGATGCTTTCAATATTTATTTCTCTTTGTACATCCTACAATATATTGTTTAAGCATCATACTTTGCAGTTGGGTATGATGGTCTGAATATTCAAATGCGAGCGAGGAAAATGTAAAGATTTGTGAGGTCGCAGTGCAAAAAATTACATCTTATAAAGAGAATTAAATCCAATGCTGATGGGGTTATAGTCACATTCTCATAACGGAAGACTGAAAAAAACCTTTGATATGTAACATAATTATATCATCTATGAAATCAATGCGAGTGAGTGTAGCAAGCGAGCTTTGGGAGAAATTGCCCTTAAATATTCACTTTAAATTAGGGGCACCTTTAAAAAGAGAGGAAAAGGGGACACTTATCGAAAAGGATAAGACACTTATTTCTAATACCTGAAAAGGAGCACTCACCAGGGATTAAAAAGGCACTTATGAGAATGGTAAATGGACATTTGTCGACGGAATTGGGGCACCAATCAGATTTTGATAGAGGCATTCATAAGAGTTGAAACTGGGAATCAATGAAAAGGAGATAGGTCTCTTATTAGAAAGGAAAAAGGGGCACGTATCATTGTTAAAAAGGAAATTGTCAGAGGTGTAAAGGGGCATTCATCGCCCCTGAAAAGAGGCACTGACTTAATATGAAAAGGGGTACTTATGAGAATGAAAAGAGACACTTTTAATAGTTAGGAAGGGGAAGGAGCTCTTTTGTTTTAATGGGGGGTACTTATACGGAAAATGGGGCAATTATTAGATTGGAAAAGGGGCACACGTGAAGATAAAATGTGTGCTTTATGGGAGTTAAAGTGGGTAGTTGTTAAGAGGGGAAGAGGCACTTCCTATAAATAAAAAGAAGCACTGGTCAAAGTAAAAGAGGCACCTCTCAAATAGAATAGGGTTACTATCAGAGGTGAAGGGGGCACTTGTCAAAAGTGAAATAGGCACTTTTAAATGGACCCTTTGCTCTGGAAAAAATGGCACTTTTTACGAAGTTATACTTATAGGGGCACTTTTCCTCCGTAAAAAAGGGAACTTTGGGGGTACTTAAAAAAGCCTCTGGCTATGAAGCTGGCTTTTTATACTCATTTATTCATTCATTAAAAAATGGTTTATTTCAAATAAAACTTTCATCGCGGCGTTTAGCCGAATTACAAACAAAGTTTACAAACAAAATTAAAAACACATAATTAAATATAAAACATTGCATAACATTATACATTGAACGTGAAAAACAAATTCAGGATAGATACGAGAAATATAGCTTATTGCAACATATGTCCACGTTACCATGACACATGGGAAACGCTTGAGCTACTTAAATTCGTCTGTCTTCGCCGACACCGTGGTCCCATCTGGATGTCATCGTACTATAATACGATGGTTACACGATGACATTGCGAGGGTTACACGTAGTCGTGTTGCCTTCCGAAGACATTCGGGCAGCTTCTTGTTTCCTTCGTATTGTCTTCGTGAGGCGAAAAGTGCCCGATGGCACCGATGATCACACGAAGTTATTACGAAAATGACACGATATGACATGATGCCCTCACGATGGCCTTACGAAGGGCAACCTGGACTCACGAATACAACACGAAATTGGACCTTCGCAAGGTCTTCGGGCAATTTTTTGGCAAGCCAAAGATTTTGCCACCGCTCACGAAGTTGCTGCCGGAGCCTGAGAAATCGACTGGCGTTCACACGATTGCCTCAGATGCCCTCACGAATGGCCCGATATATGCCCGCGTCACACTGTCCCGAAGTTGACATAAAATGGACACACGATGAAGGAAAATTTTCAATTCGGCTCTGATCGTAAACACATCGGGCCATTCGTGAGGGCATCTTAAGCCATCGTATGACCGCCGGTGCATTTTTCAGGCTCGGGCAGCTAAAAAGATGTAGATAAAAGATGTAACCTAAACCAAACGCTCTCTGTTCATACTTCAACGAAGGAAGTAATCTAATTTGACCACTTCATAATTATGTCACGCAACCCTCCTACTATCAATCCACTTGCTATCAACTTATAAATTACGTGATAAGGACATCCTGTATTTTTATTATTAAAAAGACATGATACCTGACCCTGATATTGGAGACACCTTTTCCGATGTTTTGATGGGTCTCATTGAGCTGAAGAGTAAACGGACTTTATGTGGTAAGCTTATCCTGTTTACCCCCCCCCCCCCCCCCCACCCAACGAAACAAAAACAAGACAAACGACATGGTCAGGAAAATGACGGTGTAGTTCAGAGTATAAGGACTGGTATAGGACATAGAGGGATGTGGGGCGGGGTGAGTTTTCCTCATCAGAGTCATCTGAACACAGAGTTTGACCAACTCGGTTTTAGCTGGTATAACAACGTGGCGTATATTCTTTTCTGTTATGCTTGCCCAACGAAGCAGTAATCGCCATGTACCCAACTTTAACCGGGTTGGTCGAACTCTCCTAATAATCAATATTACTTCCTGACCCTCATGCTATATGCTCGATGGCTAAAATCGCAAACCCATTTCACCCATAAGATTTGACCCCCATAGCATGTAAATATATACAACACTGCAATATACTTCTAGTTTATGATTCACTGCATTGTATATTGCTATCATAATGCTATAATAAAACCATGCAGGTAGCCTTTTTCTGCATGATGGGTATTTGAATGTTCGTCATTGCCATTAGTGTCACTCATATTAGTGTTGGTAAAAGTCCGTAATTAAATTTATAGGAGTCTTAGAAGCAAAACGAACATAGTGGGTTTAGGCATAAACAATATTTTCTTTATTGGGGTGGAATTTAACTGTAAATAAAAACACCTGCGTTGTCTTACATGACAATCATAAATAAAACAAGGAGCCTTGGAAAAAAGAAATACCAGATCTTGAGAATGAATGCTATGTTTACTTCACTACTTTTATATTCAGTTGATATTACAACATTACACATAGAAAATAAATAGATTTGACTCGTATACCAATGTCAATAAAACTAGATTTCTCAATCAATACACTATTTACCGACTGTTATTGTTTGATTTAAGGTGTTGTCAATACAACTTAAAAAACAACAACATTTATAGAAAAGTAATTGAAATGATTAATCCACTCTGACGATACAGTGATGGTCCCTTTATGTGGGTATTAATAATAGCCTTCAAATTAATGAGAAGGAAAAGTACAAGGAAGTAAGTATAATAAAACGATGTTATTATCAGTATATTTAAGGTAACATTTCTGTGTCAACTCTTCAGTCTTTATCATAGTGTCATATCTTCTTTCATTCGAATCATTATCATCATCGTCATCATCATCACCAGTATCATCATCATCATCATCTTCATCATAATTATCATCATCATCCTCATCTGTATTGTCAATATTACCATCATCAAATTTTGTATTTCTAATTACCTATCCGTTATGTATGGGGCTGTCGTATTATCAAACAATCTGCTTACAATGACAGTTCTTCCCTACCCAAATAATTGTATACCGGTAATGTTTTTAAATATTTGAGGAAATTAAGTATTTATGACAGTTAATCATATCATTTCATAAATAACAAGTTAAATATATATGTATTTGCTTATTTATGATTCATTGTCAGAAAAATAATTATTGTACTTTATATTACTATTGTTATCGAAAAACTGTGCACTTACATGAATGCAGAAGAAAATCAAATCAAATCAAATCAAATAATCAATTGAATGATTGTTTGGTGTTATTCGCCCAAGTAAACCACATTAATATCGATACTGCTCTCTCTACAAGCCCGTATGACCCAAGAAATGTCAGGTCCCCATCAAGTGGGTCGAGAGAGTCAAATATGGGCAAAATGCCTCGTCCAAGCCTGGATGTAAGTAAGGATCAAACCCGGGACTAGTCCTCTCGCAAAGGATTCAGGAACCTTCATCAATACACCACAGTGCTCCAACTGTAATACAAGGCACATTGACTATTGGTCATGTCTTTTGGCTTAGCATTCATGTCTTTTGGCCTATCATCCATGTCTTTTGGCTTATTATTCATGTCTTTTGGCTTATTGATCATGTTTTTGGCTTATAACTTGGCCTTCTCTGTCTTTTCTTTCTTCCTGTACGATTTACTGTAGAAGTTGCCGAAGAGGAGAACCATGGATATCGCGTAGAGAAAGACGGCATAGTTGAATCCTTTTGGGAACGAGCATTCAACGAAGATATTGAAACCGGTGTGGAATAAAACCAGGAAGAACTGGACCTATGTTTAAAAAAAGATATGATGATAAATATCAATTACAAAAGAAAAGAAACTGAAAATCAACCTATACCATTCTATTAACCATGATACACACCAAAAATATTAGTTATTCATTAAATGTGTCTGAAAATATAAAGAACAATTGAAAATAACAGTGCTATTCTCAATTATAACAGCCCTCTACAGTTTATGTAAATTCAACAAATTCAAGAATTATGAAGCTCATTGTTGCAGTATAGATGAATAACACTTTGGGTACAAAAACATAAAATGAATAATTGGGATGTACAGTATATTCATCGTTAGTTCCTGCATTTTCTCATTCGGGTGAAACGAGAAGAAAAGTGAAAAAGAGTGTGAATAAATTAATGAGTGTTTGAGGAAAGATGAAAACTATCTTTTGTGGAAAATGAAAGCATATTTATACACTTGTGTCGAAATTTTACGCGGGAAATTCAGAGGCACAACCTCCCCGACATCAAGGACCAGGAAAGTGGAATATTTCACTAGCAAATTTAACAACCTGCTCATTATTATGAGGTTTATGGGTGATGCAAGATGATTTTTTTTTTTAATGTTTGAAATATATTTGCAAGAAAATAGAGAGATTGTGTTTTCAACTCCTGAAAACATCTTCTTAGACATTTCCCATAAGTTGATGGGAGGGCTTTCCCCCACGCCACCACTGTTAAAGCGTCGGAATGGACCTTAAATAATATAATCTTACCAGCTGTATTTGTGTAAGATATTTTTTCCATGTCAAATATTTCTGCATGTGCGGTCCAAGGGCGGAGAGGGCGTAGTACGTGTACATTATCACATGCACAGAGCAGTTGAACATCGCTAAAAAGAAAGCTGCAAGAGAGAGAGAGAAAAAAAAACACGTTAATTAATGGGCCTGGTGATGCATTATTTGCTTATATTCTACCTTTTTATCGACGATACTATATAATCTTCGGAATGATTACAAAAATAACAACATAATAAAAAAAAGCAGCATGAATGTTTACGCAAATGAAACAGAACAAACTATATACAGTGCGTCCTATAAAAAAAACCCGAGAATTATCAATGTTTTATCATAACTTAATCACAATTATAATTCATAAATGACACATATTGGTAAAGCTTAGATCCTCCTCTTTCATTTGACGCAACTAATATGAAGCAATTTGAAGAGAGAAAACAAAAAAGTCATTTGGCGGACGGTAATTGAGTTTCAGTTCCTGCCCTTTTATATGACACGTCAACCAGAAAAAAATGAGCTAGGAATAACAAAGTTCTGTTTGTTTAAAGTAAGGCTTGTATTTCCATAATTTCATTAAACGAATTCGTTTTCACTGGCTGCCTGCCGTAGCAACAGACAGAATTGACAAAAGACTTAACTCTGTTTCGTTGACGATGAGCCATAGACAAATAACGCCAAAATGGTCGAGATCGGCAAGTGATAGGTCGGTTAGCGATTTGGCTGAGGTATGCCTCACTTAAGGCCCGGTCACACAGAGGGGACGCATGGGGGACGCACGGCCGGCGCATGGAAAATTTGCAATTTTGGCCAGTGCGTTGTCGTTCGCTAGGCGTGCGTCATCACTCGTTACTCGTTCGTCGAGCGCGCTGGACCAACGCTGGACCAGCGCTATGCATTCGTCGTCATTCGCTGTGTGCGTCGGGATTTTTTGAGCATGCTCAAAAGTGTGCGCGGAGCTCGACGCATGAATGTACACGCCAAAGGCACGCCAGACGTGCGTTGAGCGCGCTAGACCAGCCTCTGGGTACGGTCTGTATGCGCACTGTATGCGCCCTGTATGCGCTCAGCGCGCTAGCAACACGCTATGAATTTGGTGTCAGCTACGACAAAAGTTGGGCGCACGACAACGCACTGGCCAAAATGGCAAATTTCCAATGCGCTGGCCGTGCGTTCCCCATGCGTCCCCTCTGTGTGACCGGGCCTTTAGTTCTCGTTCGCATATTTGAGGTTTTACAGCGTTTATACCACAACGGCACCAACGAGAGAAACAATCGATGGAACTAACACGTAGTTGACTAACATTTTCGTGATTTGTGTACAAAACATATGGAAAGGTAATTTTTCCTAAAAATTTGAATTTTATGACCTTATTTGCATAAATTACCATAAATATGCAAATGAGTGAATTTTTCAAAAAATTAAATTTACCATAGTATTCTATACACTTTACCTGACAAGCGTGCAAATTTTCACGGCGATCGGCCGTTTCACGAGATCTTAGGGGGGGCATAATACCCCCCCCCCCCCCCCGGGAGCCGTATTAAGACCTCAAATAGCCCGGCCTTCTTAGGGTTAAGTCGGTGGGCAATTTGGCTGAGGTATCATCACACGTTCACGGCGACAAAGTAAGAACCTCCAAATTTAAATAATAGTAAATAATCATAAAATCATGAGGTTTCTTTGTATTTGGATCTGGATCATCTGGCACACACAACCTCCTGATCACTTACATTGTCCACCGGCTATGTATTTAACCCCCAGCCACCAGTTGACGATCATGGTGCTGTGATGGTAGACGTGAAGAAAGGTGACCTGGTTGTTCTTCTTTCTCAGGACGAAGAAGACGGTGTCGAGGAGCTCGATGATCTTGGAGAAGAAATACCACCAGCACACACTCGCCATCTGTGGAGAGACCATAGATATGACGTCACCAATGCCGTATTATCTCTGTAGGGTTAATTATTGTTTGGTTAATGGCATAATAGAAGTTATGTTGAATTTTATGCATATTCTATACCTCTATTTTCTGAACATGCTCAAAGGAATTGAAACGCACTTAATTACTTGTTGACTTTGCCTAAATATAATTTGATATTTTTCCTCGTCCTCATCTCAATTCTCATCTTAAATACACATTTTATTACATTTCAGTACGAGTTCGTGTTGTATACAGCAAGAGAGGAAGAGAGAGAGAGATAGAGAGAGAGAGAGAGAGAGAGAGAGAGAGAGAGAGAGAGAGAGAGAAACAGAGACAGAGAGAGAGAGGGGGAGAAGAAAAAAGCTAGGAAAGGTCTATGATAAACATAAAGGCACTCACCCTCAACGCGAGTGGGTTATTTGAATAGTCGACAGGATCACACATGTAGTTATACTTGGCAAGCAAGGATGACATCCGAAACTACAGGGAACAACAATGATGTTAGATATTACCAACATTATCGATACGTTTTAACCATTAACATGTAAAAGAGTGGATGAAACGGAGGAGGTCATTTGTGATCTTTAACATATAATGAAAGATGATAGAAAGTGGCAAATTGTCAAGCTATACGCTGACACTGAGCTGTTCAGGCCTACAAACTTGTTCGGTTAAGCTGTCTATTAATTAAAATTATTATGTTTATTATGTTCCTCAAAGCATTATGTAATTCCATAATCATAATATCTAGCTCTAAAAGGGTAATTTCTTTTCTTCCCCAGTTCTTAAATGTCAAAGACTGGGCAGGTCGTTTATTGCAGTCTTCCGTATTTCAAATAGTTCGACCACACCACTGTCAAGTAATAGTCTTTCAATTATTTTTTATCCTCTCACTAAAAATGCATTTCCTTCAAAAATGTAGAGGCGTCGTGGTCTAGTGGATACGTCGTCAGATTGTGGATCACTCGGTTTGCGGTTCGAGTCTCGCCGCGGCACTAAAAGTCCTTTTAGCAGGACATTAATCTCCATTTACAATTTTCCACCCAGGTGTCAAATGCGTATCGGTAAGAAGGGATTCCTTGAATGGTGTGAGCACCGAAATCGGTAGACTATCAGAGCCGGGGTAATATCGGAGTGCCTGAGCACCTTGCGTATTGGGTAGGTGCGCTGTAAACAAAATTAATATCAAATTAAAAATCGTTAGTATACAAATATTTTCCCCACCTCATAGCACATGTAGAGTGAAAGCAAGACCAGCGCGGCGTTGTAGAGAACCAGGACCGGCTTAAGCTCGAAGGGTTTCTGATTCTCCATCATCTTAGGGCCAACATGGAGGAAGATGAAGTAGGCAACCAGGATGATAGCGCATGGCAACGGGGACTGCATCAGCGGCCATTCCTCTACCCTTGCATCTGGTATAATTAGAAAACATGGGATTTTGACGATTAAGCATAATTCTTGTGTTGGTTAATTTTACGTCACCTGTTCTGATGTTGCAGAATCTAAGATTGTTTTCTTTAAAAAACAAATGTCATGATAACGTCACAGACAAATGATATCGTGTTCTTATATCTCTACTGTCTTTCGGAAAATATCTTTATTTGAAGGGTGATTTTGAAGACGTTTAATTAATAATGAAGTTATTTGAATTGTACATAAATACATTCTGAAATGCTAAAAAAAAAGGGGGGGGGCTAATTCTATATCTTGAAGCGAAATCATCATCGATTGGATGCTTTCCCTCCTAAATTGAAACATTTATCGTTTTAGGGGAGGGGATCTATATGCGTTTACCAAACACACGAGGAAATAAATGGTTACTATTATTTCCGTATTTCATTAAGTGAAAAGCGTTTTCTTTGATACCGCCTACATGGTGTTGTGTCATAAAGTACTTGTTGTATCATCTGAAAAAAGGGTCGAGTAAAATTCACGAATTAATAACTTACCTCCTTTTGAAAGAGTTGAGTTGTAAACATCTGAAATTCTGTCTATGAATGACGTGATTGGGCCTTCCTCGTGAAACCCCGATTGGTAATTCTTAGCCATAGTTTATAAGATGATTCAGTGCTGAAAATGTTAGCTGGAAAAAAATTACAGAACAAACGTTTGGTAAGCCTTATATTGTTACTCATTAGCTTTGTCATTGATGTATATTGTACGCATAAGAACAGTAGATACAAATAGGAAGTAGTTGAAAAGGGGACAATTATAATAATAAAGAAAGGACTGTTGTCAAAAATGTAGTTGCTTTATTGAGAGAATGATTATTTTACGAATCTCGCAACAACTGTCGTCTTTGAGAGTGACAGCCCCCGATATTTATACATCAGAAGATTTTTATTTTCATTCGCACTATATAGTGTTTATCGATGTCACAATCATAATTTAACAGGTCACACCTTGACAGTGCTTTTACTATCCATAATCATCACGTAACTATGATGACTATATTACAGAAACATAGAAAAAGAGAGAGAGAGAGAGAGAGAAACACATACATACACACAGTAGCGTACGCAGGACTTTGTTCAAGGGGGTGTTTTAAAATTTGAATATCGCGCCGAAAATTTCGCAATGACTCAGCCAGCCGCTGAATAAGCGGGGGGCAAGAGCACATATTTTATTTGAGGGGCCCTGGAAATTGGAAAATTACGTCCTCAGATATTTCGTTAAGTGGCTTGGAGAAGGGGGGGGGGAGCAACACTTTTTTTTTGCCTCGAACACAATTTTTTTTTTTAAACCTGCGTACGCACCTGCATACACACACATTATACAAAGAGAGAGAGTGAGAGGAAAAAAGGGGGGGGGGAACTAATAAAAGATATTATGGATTGTAATAGCCTCTTTTTAAGATAAATGAAAAAGGGAGAAACGTTACTTAAATTTCAAAGAAATGTTCAAAAAACATGATAATCAGAATTTAGAAGGCAATAACAGCAACGGTCATTGATTGTTAAAACGTAAGCCTACTTCATTGCATTCTTTCCACCGCGAAGGAACGACCTGTATTTTTAAACAGGCTACAGACAACCATGCAAGCACATCCTATAAACACTGTTATCTTGATATTATTAATTATTAACACTTTAGTGTTTTAATCAGTCTAATCTAAGCAGTATAATTATTTTCGAACGATTCTGGGATTTTTATCATAAGGTCTTGGATGAAATCAATGTTATATCTTTAAAGCTTCCGATTTTTTTCTTCTTCTGAGAAACTATAAAGCAAAGGTACAATATTCTATCTTCCATGTAATTCTGTGGTGATAACATGTGGTGGAAGCACAATAGATCTGGGGCATATTACAGTTCAAAATGTTACTTAAAACGCAGAACCTAGGATTGCAGGCTTATTTATTACTGTTTTACACATCTTAGCTCTGTGCGTTTTACTGCAATGTTTACGTTGGAGCAACAAGTTCTTAGAACATTGAAGATGCGCTCAAACAGATTTATCTCCGGTTTACCTAAATTATCTTAAGTATATATTTGTTCATAGATATAGGCTTTTTATAGAATCAAACATTGTATGTGGGAAAGGGATTATTGCTCTAAAGGGACAGGGATAAAAATCATAATGGAGACTGCGAATTGGGTCAAGTGGCGATTAGCGCCAGGGGGGGGGGTGAGAAATAAAGAAAAAGAGAAGGGAGAACGTTTAGAAGTTGCATGGAGAGATGTAGAGTGGATGATAGAAAGAGGAAGGGAGCACGGAAAGGAGTGTGAGAGAGAGAGAGAGAGAGAGAGGGGGGGGAGAGAGAGCAAGAGGGGGAGGGACTAGAGAGATTGAGGGAAAGAAGAGTGGAAAGAACGAGATGGGTAAAACAGAACAGAGAAAAGAGACAATAAGAGAGAGAGAGAGAGAGAAAGAAAGATGTAAGGACATGGGGTAAAGGAGGGATGGCAGGGAGAGTGAGAGAGAGAGAGAGAGAGGGGGGAGAGAGTGTGTGTGTGAGAGAGAGAGAGAGAGAGAGGGGGAGAGAGTGTGTGAGAGAGAGAGAGAGAGAGAGAGGATATAGAAGGGAAAAAAAACATGCGGGGTAAAAACAAGAAATAAAAGAGAGAGAAGAGGAGAGAGAGATAAGGGGATAGAGTGGGAGAAAATGGATTGAGATCAAAGAATATGCGTTGTATCAAGCGTCCTGAAAAAATAGCAGGATAGCAAGTGACGTGTATTGCCGCAATTAAAGATCGATTTTATCAATGTATTTGTAGGAAATGATTGAACATGAAACTAATACAGTTTCAGAATAGTAGAACTCACTTTACAGTGCCCAAGTGTACTTGTTACGATGTACATGCAAGACCATTCGGCGTCCTGTGGGTATAGTAGCACGTGCATGGATCATAGTGAATCTTGCAGATCAATATGACTTGTGTAGATGCACTGGATTATCGATTTGCATAATGGTTTACATGCCAAAAAAATTCTCACTTCTAAAGAAAACTCTTACAAATATAATAAGTTTATGAGCTGAAAATGTATAAATACAAATATAAATATAGTCTTACCTTTTGTTGAGACGATGTTTCAAAATCCCATTCCCCAATCAGTCGAGGATCTATCTCATTTGAAGGCCAATACATCCGTACAGTAACTGCATTGCAAGAACCCTGGGCAATGAATGGGGCGGTCAGTTACGTAACGATTACGTAATAATATCAATAAATGTTGCGTCATGATGCGTGCCTGTTCCACACGAGGATCCACCTCTAATTATCTTGAGTTGTCGATATATTGATTATCATTTATTAATGAAGAATTATCCAGATTTAGTGTTACTGTTAGTGTATAAGACCATCTCCACTATTGAATTAAATTGAATTTGAATTGAATTTCTTTATTGTCATGCACAAAATAAAATGAAGGCATAAAAATCGTCTTACGGCTCACATTTGTATAAAATATAACACTACATTAACATATCATAGACAAATAACTACAAATAACATAAATAACATAACAATGTAATATGATTTAACCTCTCTTTTGACTCAAAAGAGAGGTTAAATCATATTACATTGTTATGTTATTTATGTTATTTGTAGTTATTTGTTTTGAGAGCCATGAGAATTATTGCAATTCCAAATTCTTTTTTATGTATTCAGTTTTCAAATTTTGCTTGAACGGAAAAGGTCAATTTATCTGAATTTATCCACAGTTTAAATGTCAAAGTTGGTAGATTTACCTACTGAAAGCGCCATTGGATATGAAGGGTAAAATATACCAGAGGACAACGGATACATGCACTTTATGAAATGTCTAAATCACAATTAGCTCGAATGAAATAAGTATATAAGACAATAGCATGCAGAAATTTATGATTTAAGTCAATTTATTTATCAGATATTCAGGCAGAAAAATACCTATAACATAAAAACATTTCAGTCAGATACATAATCATCTGAGAGTCATTTGTCAGCATTTTTATAAGTAAGCTGCAGAATTCCATTGTGGTTGATACAACAATAAATGAAAATAAGTATATTCAAGGTTCAATAGAGTGTTAAATGAAATCCAACCAGTATATCAATCATTAGAGCAATAGTAAATGCGAATCAATGAATTTCTTTCATAAGTCTCTTATTAATTTTGACCTCAAAAAATGTACACACGTTTACAACAGACATTTAGTATTCTGAAACACTACAATGCGCCACGCTTTTGAGTCATCATTTCAGTCTATTTTTGTACACTTATTTATTTGTTTTAGTTTTGTAAATTCGCTTCCATTTGAGTTTTCTAAATGAATAAAGCATACCCTTCCGTAGTTTTTGTCACTTACAACACCAACACTAAATCGACCCATTTCCTAAAGTTTGAAGGTATTGACCTGGGGGGAGGGGGGGGGTAATAGAATTATTTCATACATTACTTAATATAAATTGTAACACAAATTAAAAATAAGTAATTCTATACACTTCATACGATGCACGAATTAAACTTTCCAGAAGAAAAATAAAATCACCTTCTGAACTTTGATAATAATAATTAGGTCGATCAAAATGAGTTCATGAGACAGCTAAAAATATTTTTCTAAAATATTGAATATCATTTTAATAAGCATGTATGAAATTTACGAGCAGTATTATTACTTAGGTTACGATCTATATACATGTAGGGGGGTGGGTGTTTTTGTGTTTTATGTATTAATTTGTCAGAATCTTCTCACAATACATTCAATGGCAACATAAGTAAATATCAAAGTCTAAATCAATAATTAGTTTAATTCCCTTTCCCCCGGTGTAAGTGTCTTTCCTTTTACATTTCAGAAAAAAATTGCAAAGATTGATACTAAAATCACACACGGGTCAATGAAATACATTGTGTATACGAAAAGTGTTACACACATGTTAAGAATAGGTTTAGACGTTAAGTCCTTGCAATATTCATCTTGTATTGATATTAAAAGTAATTAAATGAATTGGTGTTTATCTTAATGATATCTTAAATCAATAATGAATTAGTTCATCTTATAAATCAAACTAATAATTGGAGGAAAATGTTTATGATTAAAAGTAAAACGCTAGAAAAATAGCAAAAACAAGCGACAGAAGATGTGCAGAATACGCTATACGACCGCCTGAACCTTCTGTCGTCATCTGAAGCGTCGTCTCTGCAGTTTCTGGAGAGGTTCCTGTCCCCTCATTGGCCAGAAGAGGCTCCACGTGACTGAATGTGCCGTTGTTGGGTGCGGGGTCAACCGCCAGCAAGTGACACATCAAGTTGTACACGTCAACAGCGTCGAGTAAATCATTGGACGCGTAGTTTGATTTGAAGGCGGGGCCAGAGGCGATGAAGATGGAACGCATGCTCTCAAGGGTGTTCAAGAAGCCATGATTCCCCTTGTATCCTATGTATAATATAGAGAGCCATTGGTTGCAAATTAATTAAAATGATGACCAATCATGTTTAAATGATGGAAGAGGATTATTAAACGGGCAAGCGTTTTACAAAAAGGACTCATAAATATTTGTATTCAATATTTGTTTTAATTGTTATTATTATTATTCATTTGTTTACTATACTCTCAACAATCGACCAATTTTGTTTAGCACTCCAAGGTTATCGTGTACAACATACAATAAACAAATAACGTCGGAATAATCCTGACGAATCACTCTTCTCTAGTTAAACTTAATTTAAAAGCAAAGATTGGAAGAGATATCTGCAAAGTGAAATTCAATTTTCCAATAAATTTTATGTCATTCCATAAAAATGCCATCCCTAAAACATAAATGATGCGTTAGTCAAAGATAGATTTATAAATAAGACAAAGAACAACATCGTCGAAGAAACATATAGTTATTAAGAAATATAGAAATTACTTTGCCAGTTTCCTTCGATAGAACTGTTGGTCCAAACATGCCATCCTTCCTCCATGACCACAAGAATGGGGCTAGTCCGCCGGTTGTCCCGATAATGATATTCCTCAGGAATTTCCGCTTTAAGGTAAACGTCCATATTGGGATGTGCATCTTTCAAAGCGTCGTACAGCTCCTCTGTGCTGTTTTCTAAAGGGTTAATGCGAGGTGGAATGTATAACAGAAAGATTGTAGTCTAACGATTTAGAAAAGGAAATAATTTGGTGTACATTTTATACTCAACCTGGCGTTAAACACTGTTGAGCTTGTCATGAAAAATGAGAAATATGAAGTGGCGTGCCCCAAGGTGCTATTCTCGGGCCGATTTTTAGATTTGTATTAATCAATGTTTTAAATGCAACATTTTCTCTCGATAAGTGTTCCTGTCCCTTACAGGTGATTATTAGCTTGATTTTTTTTTTTTTTTTTTTTTTTTGGGGGGGGGGTGGGGTATCACACTCAAAACAAAGATGGAACAATAGATTTAGATATACATGAATAATTGTAATACTGTGGCTTCATGTGCTGGCATCATTATTATATATTAAACGAAAATCATGATGAAACCTTCATAACATCGTTGTGTCTACAAACCGTCATATGGCCATAAACCGAATACGGGGTCATTGTTGGTGTAGAAGTACAGACTCCTGTCAACGTAGTCATCGAGAAACACCGTCTGGTCTGGAGATACGGACGCCATGCCGTGGTCACTGGTCACGATGATATTGACGTCATCGAGCAAATCGGCTTCGGTCAGCTTTTCCAGGAGGTACCCGAGGGTTTCGTCACAGTCAGCAATACTGTTGGCAGTCTCGTTTGATTCTGGACCCTTTCATTAAAAAAAAAGAAAACAATAAAGAAATCCAACACTGGATATCAGGTTGAAAATAGAACACATTCACCTTTGGTTCTTTTTAATATAACTATCATTTAAACTCAGCCGGCGGCGAGGGGGTGGGGGGGGGGGGGGGCTCAATTCGTGAAAAAAATATTTAGCAGCGAATCAGCAGATCAGCCGGCCGGCGAATAAGCGGGGGGGGGGGGGGGGGGGTTAAGGTTAAATTGTGGTTACCATGTTTTTCTCCCCTTTTTTGCCAGGGGTTGGGCCCGTCTTTTAAAAAACTTTTTTTTTTTGCCGGGGGGGGGGGGGGCCGTGGATCCGCGTCTGTTTAAACTTGTTGTTTTTTATTTGATATGTAAATCACCTTCTTATTAATCTTGTTTACATTAAGTCTTTTCCACATCTATGATTTCTACCACACGTGTTTTTTATTATTTTAGTCTTAACGATGTTGCATATTGCATGAATTTTGCTCACTTGCAGGTGCCCTGTGTTATCCGGCTCACTGAAATAGAGTATGCCTAGATTGGCGCTCCCGTTGGACATCAATCCGACGACCAGATCGATCCGGTCTTCGTTCGGGAACGATCCGTCGTAGGCTGGCTGGTGATAGGTGGCCGTCATGCCTGAGATGTTTACACGATCTCCGGGCCAGAAGACGGAGACGGTTCGACCACCGTTGATTTGGTTCGTCACCCAGATCGGTTCTCCTCCGTAGTTCCACCACCGGGGCTCGTTATTGGCCTGGCCGAACGTCGAGTTGAACTCGGGGTCGTACATGTTGTTTCCTGGATCATAAAGACGAAGTAGAATTGAGGTACATATACAAGGAAATCATGACTATTAAACACTATATTGTACGACGTATACACTTTTGGTGTGAACGGGGAGGGGGAAGGGATGGTAGCAGTCGTATTCATAATGTGATATAGAGGGTTTTAGATTATGTAATGTTATATTTTCGTAATATTTTGTGTTTTATTTCTATGTTTAATCCTCTATTTCTGGGCCTCTAGGAAGAACAGAGCCATTTTAATAAAGGCTCTGAATAGAGCTTTCCAGCCGTTTTTAATTCTTGATTTGTATTATGTTTGTAAAATTGTATTCTTGTATGTATTTGAATTTTTATACGGAAAATAAAAACAACCAACCAACCAACTACTATCAGTTGTTTGAATGAGTGTATTTTGCAGTGTATTCTTCGGTCAAAAAGAATAAATAAATAAATAATAATAATTATTAAAGCTTATCTGCCATAGTTTACAGGAGGGATTAGAGCGCCCTGCAAGGTCACTGGACAGGTGGTTATCTCATCAACTCAGCTCTCAGTTAACATAAGAAAAAGAGGATCATGGGGACTAATGGTCACCGATTAGGCATTGTTTGTTATATAGAGGGCGCAAGTAGATACAAGTTGTTCAGTGGGCCTTTAAATAAAATATGTTCAAAAAATAATTATAGACCGATGCCCCTGCCTATAGGCTATAAGACTACATTGCATTATGTTTTCTTGTCGTGTTAAACAAAATGGAAAGGCGAGGAGGGTGTGCAAGTAAGACGAAGAGGGATAGATAGGGAAGGGGTGAGAGAGAATGGGACACGAGAGAGAGCGAGAGAGAGACAGAGAGAGACAGAGAGAGAGAGAGAGAGAGAGAGAGACAGAGAGAGAGAGAGAGAGAGAGAGAGAGTATGTCTTGATCAAAGAGGAACTACAATAGCTCGGTTTTAGTCACTGCACCTCCATAATCATAAATTGTATAGGCATGAAACATCGTTATCTTGCTTAATCAGTTATTGATAAATGTGGGTGTGTTTAGCAATTCATGTTCTGTCTCGGATAAATAATTCGCGCATTGCAATAAATATTGCCAGATGGAACGGGAAAATGGGGCAAGAAAATCTCGATTCATGAATATTAGTGTGTGTATTGTATAACATTATTTTGTCAAGACAAAACAAACTATACACAGGTACATTGAAACGCCTAAATCGTGAACAATGGCAACTCAAAGCGTGTAATACTAATATTTGAAAAGTAATATAAATATCGTTTTGCAAAGTCGCAACCCCTTCTTTGCCGAGCGATTGTTTCTCCGTGCCACGTTCCAGACATTGGAAGTGTGAAATAGAGAATTAATATGTGACATTGAAACGTGAGGTTCCCTGGTAACAGAAAGAGAAATATTCAAATTTTGATTGATTTGAGAACCAAAGGGCTGGGCGAGAAAGCTTTTCATGTTTGGGCGATACAGATTTTCATATTTGTCAAAAGAATTGGGGCTCTTTTACATGAAGTATGGTGGACAATAGTGATATTTAGCCGTTTCATTCAAGTTACCTGTTGCCCTTTTGCCCTGCATTATACAAATAATATGATGCATTTGAGCAGGAAAATGAGAAAAGGTTGCTTACAGTGTATGCGAACAAATCTATGATGTCGGTATGACACACCGAACTGTAAATATGTATTTGGTTGTATTTATAAACATTATAACGGTTTGCAATATGAATGATGACAAGTTGAAACCACTCAAAAGGCTTGTCGTAAAGAGAACCAATCTTTTCTGTTCAGCGGATCATCAATATTTTTGTTCTTTCTCCCCATAAAACGAGTACAAAATAGTATTTCCTGGATTACGATGTCTTCCTATAGCTGGGAAGGGCAGAGAGGGAGGGGAAGTAGGAACATTAGAGGGGGAGGGGAGGTAGGCAGAATGGAAAAGAGCTATAGTGAGGGGCGAAGGGGGGGGGGGGTAGAGAGGGGAATCAAAATATTAAGAGAGAGGGTGGGATGGACTGAAAATTGAGTGTTAGTGAGGGAGAGAGAGAGAGAGAAAGAGAGAAATAAAGGGGGATAGAGGGAGAGAGAAAAGAGGGAAGAGGAGGGAGTAGGCGAGGTGGGGCGGAGAAAACGGGTTTAGTGGAAAATCCTTATTTTAACTGGATACTACTTATCCTATTTTTCATATCATTTTTCAATAGTGGACTATTTTCTGATTGGAAAAGTGGATACGCGTCCAGGAAAGTGTACGAGTCCGTTAAAGTAATCATAAGTCATTGATCTTCAATCATCAATTCATCAGAAAATAATTACACAAACTCTTACTTTATATCAGGAAGTAGTCATTTTCTGGACCTCTAGGAAGAACAGAGCCATTTTAATAATGGCTCTGAATAGCCGAATAGCTGAATAGCCGTTTTTTTAATTCACGATTTGAATTATTTGTCAATTGTATTCTTGTATGTATTTGAATTTTTATACGGACAATAAAACCAAACCAAACCTAGTCTTATTTTTTGTTTCATTTTGCTATCACTAAGAAACGAGCAAAATTAGTATTAATTTATGATCACTCATAACAGTCGAAGCAATCATAAACATTCGTTAATATTAACGATAGACTGTTGAACTACGTTATTGTCACACTCTATGATGCGGATTTTCAGATAAGATTTGTGATTCATCATTAGCGAATAGATCAATAGAATTTTCAAACGATAACAAAAACATCTATTTATTAAGTAACCTGGTAACCAAACAATCCTCTGTAAGGGTTAAAGAAAGGGGTTTCACCTTGTTTCTTCACCTTGCGTTTCAACATTATGTAGGCAAACATTTTATACTGCAGGTTAGTGTGCATACATCATTTTATATGTATCATTATCTCTTAGAAAATTAATGATTTATAAGATGTTGACTTGCAAAACTCAGTTTCGTGAAGTAGTCAGTTTATTCAGTAGTAAGTCAATATTGATCTTGCTCTATCATGTTTTTAAAATGAAGACCGATACTCGCGCCTTAATGATATGAAAGTTAATTGTATTAAAACCTATTTACTGATAAGTTGTCTTTAACAAAAAAAAGAAATTTCTATGACGTAGTGATTGACAGGATCTAAGGTTGAAGTTTGAGCGCCATGCAATGGTGGATACCATGAACACCGGCGCTATAGACAGATATAAGTCATATAAAGGCCACCACCGTCATCATCATCATCATCATCGTCATCATCTCAATGATAATTATCACCACTACCATCATCAACACCATCGTCATCATCATAACCACTTTGATCATCATCACCATTACCATCATCAAAACCACCATAATCCTCATCATCACTATCCTAATCATCATCATTACCACCACCACCATATCCTCCTTCTTCTCATCATTATCATCATCATCAACATCACCATCTTCACCATCAGCATCATCACCACCATCATCTACACCACCATCATCATCATAACATCACCATTAACAACAACATCACCATCATCGTCTTCATTATCATCATCTCTACTACCAGTAGCATCGCCATCATAAACAACGTCGACACCATCTTCATCACTATCGTCATCAACATCAATTTAAAATCGCAAAAATCACTTTATGCAAACCTAGTGATCCCCTAAAAGTGTGCCATGTAGAGTTTCCCATTGTACAGTCTTTGGTATTTTTTTTCTAATATAAATTAATTCGACTATCAGCTTTCAGGAAAGGATGAAAATGTCAAGTCTGATATTTATTAATATTAATAATATTAATTCTGAAGTGTGGTAGGCTTTCACTTTCTTTAATCCATAAATGACTTCTTTGTAAGATTGAATTCGTTTGTTTTCGTTCTGTCTTTTAGATAATATTTAAACCTATTTCTAATTATTTGCATGTGCTTTGTTTCACAACCAAAAGGTGTGACAAACAGAAATTCTGTTATATAATAATACAAACGTTTAACTTGCTGAGACTCAAACACTCTCGAATCGAAGTAATCTTGTCAGCATTTGGTAACTTATATACTAAGTTATTTGCGTAGAGTAGGAGATTTATAAAGGAATCAGATTCATTATACAACTAATTTTTGTGGTCAACAAAACCATTCAATCAAATCGTCTGCAAAAAAAATGCATCAGAAGGCCAAAGTACAGTGAGTCAAAGATCGTTCCAATTCACAGTTAAGTTGAACACAACATATTAAATATACACACTATACCGGCCAGTAAGTTGCCATGCTCATGGGTTATTCTAACCGTAGCTATATATCTTTTTTAAGTAATTATACTGACCTATAATTCCGTGGTTCTCTTGGTAGAGACCGGTAGCAATGGTGTGATGTCCAGGAAATGTTTTGGTGGCAAAGGCCGGGGTCATGCCCGCCGGCTTGGCACCCATGTTGACAAGGCGATCGAAGTTGGGCGTAGCCGTCTTCTCGAGGTAGTCGTACCGGAATCCATCGAACACGACGAGAAGCAGCAGTTCCTGGTCGTCACCGTTGTCATTGCCGGTGGCAGCGGATGTGTCACCTATTGTGATGACCACGGCGACCGCGAGAAAAAAGGAAAGTGCTGACAGCATGTTGGTCTAAATATGTATATTTGTTATAAAATCAAATAAAAGCGACTCGAATTATGCAGAAGCGGAAACAAAACCTCTGTTTTGTCCCTGTGTGTGCTTTGAGAATGCAGGCAAGAGTTGGGAATGCCGGTAACAGTCAATGCAGTTGAACGACATGTGGCATTCTCTATTTTTCTATTTATTCACCTTGCAAATTAATTTCAACAATGGAGTTACTAGCCTGTTTCAACGGAAATGCGCAGAGTAGAGAGAGAGAGAGAGAGAAAGAGAGAGAAAGAAGTTTGGGGTGGAGTGCACAAGAGTTTCCAACCAAAATTATGATCGTGAAATTGAGACAGAGAGAGAGATAGAGAGAGAGAGAGACAGAAAGTGAGAGAGAGACAGAGAAAGAGACAGAGACAGAAAAAGATAGTGAGAGAGAGAGTTTGTGTGTGTGGGTGTGTGGGTGTGTGTGTGTGTGTGTGTGACAAAGAGAAAGAGAGAGAGGGAGAGAGTGAGAGAGAGGGAGAGATAGAAAAGATGTAATAATAATAATAATAATAATACTCTGTTCTTTTATAGCGCATAACACATTACATGATAGCATGTCCCTATGCGCTATAAATAGAAAGGAAAGAATTACAAGAAAAAGTCATACAAATAAGAAAATCCACTTAGAAGCAAAGAAGTACATGTAGTGTTGGAGGCTGAGTTAATGGGTGTACACTTTTAACATTGAATAAATACGTTTTAAGAGAAACCTTAAACTTGTTTAAATTATTGTGATTTCTCATGGAATCTGGAATCCCCTAGCTCTTCTCCTTCGCGACGTTAAAGATAAACTAGAGATCTGGGAGATTAAATTCTCACAGAATCCAACGAAACTTGAAATATGAATGTTCAAGATTACAAAAAAATAACGTGTGCAAAACAATTTTGGGAGAAAATGTATAGTGTATAGAAAAATAAGGAAATCCGGGTAAGTAGACCCGACAAATGGGAATTGTGGTTTCTATCGAAGATCATGTCCAGTAAGTTTTTGTGTGTTTTTTTTTATTTATCTGGTCCAAACATCCAATCTACTGCAGGACAAACAATGGATAATAAAGTAATGGATCATCTGGAGAGAGAGAGAGAGAGAGAGAGAGAGAGAGTACGAGAGAGAGGCATGTGAGTGACCAGGAACAAAAGCGAGAGGAGTGAGGGCGCGCGTTTTTTTTTTTTTTTTTTTTTTTTGGGGGGGGGGGGGGGATGGTTGTGCCGGGAATCATGCCATTTGGTGGAATAACTTAAAAGGGATTTAGAGTGGATAGTCCGGGGGTGTGGGTTTGTGGTGGTGGGGGGGGGGGGGGTAGGAGCGAAGCAGAATACACAGTTACTCCTTGATAATCATATACTCACCATGCCTTGTAAACAATCAAAATAGCTAGCTCATAGAAACGGACTTTAGACTCCTGCGTTTTCTTCATACTATGTCTTGGTCTTGATCTAGTTGGCATATTATTATTATACAGGACTAATACAAATTGCAAATAAGAACTGGAGACCAGTGGAACGGTCTAGGAAGTGAGTGAAAATGGGGTCCAGGAAACGGAATAGGCCCTTATCTATGCGATGAATTTCTTACAACTTTACTTTTTTTTTTTAAATATTCTTTTAATCACTACAATAAAGCTTGACCTCGCAATGTCATCTTCAAATTCATTTGTTGGCCTATAAATTCATCCAAATGGATGGGGAAGGGGCTTCTTGATACAATTTCAGTGAATCATAAAATGAATAATTTCGAATTAAACATGTGACATCATTTGAAATACTTTCATTGACTATGCAATAATAGTTACAGTTGTCATTTATTAAGACATATACATGTACTTATTTTAGTACATATTTTGGACATAAGTTTATATGATGAGTGGCGGTTTGGGCTTTGGGTTTTTAGGTAAGAGGTAAAGATACCCTTTTCCCATTGGTCACAAATCAACTTAAAGACAAGCAGAATCAAATACCAAAACAGATATACGTGGAGAATTGGTAGTCTGCAAGCACAGACCCTAATTTGACACTTTAACAAACAAAAATATTGTGCCTTGAGATAAGCCTAGCCCAGCTACCTACTGGTTGTGTCAATATACAGTAAGCATGTGCCCCCCCCCCGGTAAAAAAAAAGGGGGAGGGGGAAGGGGGAATAAAAAGGGAGAAAAAGAGGAAAAAAGAGGAGGAAAGAGAAAGGAGGGGAAAAGAAAGAAATGTGAAGAGAGAAAGAAGAAGAAAAGAGGGAGGAGAGAAAAGGGGGGATGAAAAAAAGAGGAGGAAAGGAAGAAAGGGGAAGAGAGTGGAGAAAAAGGAAAAGCAAAAAAAAGAAAGAAAAAGAGAAATGGAAAAAAAGTAGAGAAAAAGGAAACAAAAGAAACAAAAGTCAGCACCACGTCGAGGGGGCAAGAAAGAAACGCATAGACAATTATGTTTAAACATATTTGTGGCTTACACCCAGTAAATAAAATCGATTGATCGATCTGTATTGAAAAATAAGTCAGAAAAAATCTTGGAACCAGCGGGACTTGAACCTGCATCTACTGCTTACCGCGGGCAGCGACTCTACCACCCGGTCATCACTGGTCCATGGCACAGTCACGATGAACTAGAAACAAATACCCAAGCTCTCCCAATTCATTCTCAGAATGAATTGGGACTGATGTTTAAATAATTGAAATTTCTCCCAGGTAGCATTACATTTATAAAAGATAATTATGTTGCTGTGTCTGGTCCGCTGTGTCGGTCTTTTTACTCGATCCTCGTGTACTATATCAATGCAGAAGTTTGCCGTCGGTGAGATATTATGTCGGTAGGCCGGCAATTTTTTTTCTCCCTACGAACTGTGACTTTTTTATCGCAAAAAAAGAAACATTTTAAATATTCAGACATTGATTAAGAGTCGGTACAACGAATCGTCTTATTTCTCTGATAATTTAATGAAACGTAAAAGGGCCATTTCGCAAGGGAGGGAGAAACTGAAAAATAACTTAGTTTCTGGCCCCGGGTTTATAGGGTTAAATTTGTAGACATTGGGAAATTGGCATTAATATATTTGTCGTTAATTGGTGGCCTCTACACCCCCCCCCCCCCACTGATAAAGGTCTAGCGATGCCCCTGATAACAAAACAGCAAAACAGTGACACTCGAGATAATTTTTGCAAGTACTACTGGTGAAGTACCAGACCACCGTCTTTGTGCATTGTGCAAAAGATCCCTATATACTCTTCAGTGGAGGGGGTATTATATAGGAGAAGCAATTTTACGGATTACTCCAGGAAGTGCCTGAAAATGCGCCTAATGTGGTCCTAAAGTTGCAAATGCCTACTCAGGGAGGGGGTTGTGACCCCCTCCCAGACCCACCCCCGCTTGGTCGCTACGCTCCATCGTTTTTCATATATTTCACCTCATGCGATTTGTGCCCCCCCCCCTTCGCCGGTAAGAAATTCCGCCACTGCTTACAGATATCTCACTACAAATATCGTAACGATACTATATAACTAGTATTAGTTAAAAAATAAAAAATGATAATGCTGTTTGCCATGTTTGTTGTACAACCATATATCTGACTACAACATTATAAACATTAAACAAAAAATATCATGAATATTATCTTTGTCAAACATTATATTCCTATTTTCTCTTTCTTTATATATTCAAATGTACCAAAAACAAGGCTAGGCTATGCTTATTTGATATTCCTAGTATTGAGCGCGTTGCGGATAATTTTAGTATGGATTCAGCTTGCCCGCACACAATGTATGCACCTTCTCCACACCTTTTTGTCCTTCTTGATAAGTTATACAGTCAGTTTTCAACTGAAAAGTTGGGGGGGGGGGGGGGTTCTCTCAACTATATATATACATTAGCTATAGGCCTACATACAGTGCATATAAAAAAGAGTGTAGGGGCCAGGCGATTTTTGACAACACTTTTTTTTTATAAAGACCCTGGACCTGGTGCTCAGTCACCCGTGGCAGAACTATAATGGATAGGACAGAAGACAAGTTACTCATCCTCATGAAATAGATTTCAAAGTCGATTGATTGATTGATTGATTTTTATTCGACAAGCTTCCAACATACAACAATATACAATAATAACAGATCAAAAAAGTCAGCTTGAACAGGATAACCCACGAAAGCTCGAGAGCTTATTTCCAGTGGGGTCCCTTACAGACATGTATAAAATTAATAAGTTAAAATAGTAATATTTACAGACAGATAAGAAAATTAAAAGAACTACTTATTAAAGATAATAATAACAACATTTAAACTGATGATAGAAATGATATTAAGTACAAGAAGAAAAAGAAGAAGGAGAAGAAGAAAAAGAGGAGAAGGAAGAAGAGGAAAATAATGATGAATTTGTAGAAATTCTATAACGTACGAAAACATAAGTATATACAACATGAAAAAGTATGAACCGACAGAAGAATAAAAATTTCAATCATATAACATGTCATTCACTTCTCTTCTCTGACTGTCAAGTATTAGGTATTCCTTTAATTTCCTCTTAAAATGATCATAGTTTCCTATTTCTTTTACACCATTGGGAAGGGAATTCCAATGTTTTATGGCATTGTAATAAAACGAATTTCCAATACTACCTACTCTTTCAGGTAAGTTAAAGTTGAATCGTCTATTTCTTGTATTATAATCATGTACGTCAGTAACAAGATCGAAGTTGGATCGAATATAATGATTCGACCTAGTATGGTATATTTTATGCACATGATGCAATACGAGTTGTTTTGATCTTTGGTCGACTTCAAGAAAACCAGCTTTAGAAAGTTCGCTGTAGCCAACATGAGTTCTTGGACCAGAACAGTTGATAAATCTCACCATTTTGTTCTGTATAATCTTCAACTTCTTTTGATCTGACTTGTTTATGTTACTATACCATGCAGGGTTAGCATAGTCAAATAAACATTGAATAAGAGCAAAACAGAGTGTACGTCTTGCTTTTAAATCCATACAACTTTGATATCTGTACAAAAATTTCAGACGAGAATTTGCTTTTTTTACAACTGATTCTACTAAAGATGAAAATGAAATTGCGCTAGCCAACTCAATGCCTAAATACTTCACAGACTCTTTTCTCTTGATTGCTTGATTATTGTGTGTCACTTTGAATTCAAATGACTTTTTAGAACTACTTTTAGAACAAAATAAAATGCTTTCTGTTTTTCCCAAGTGTAAAGAAAGCTTATTATCAGTCATCCAATCGACACACGTAGACAGCTGTTCACTGAGCTTTTCCTCAATATATTTAGGATCAGGATTTGAATAGAGTAGTACGCTGTCATCTGCGTACAATAATAGTTTGAAGTCTTTTATACAAATACACATATCATTTATATAACTTGAAAATAGAATTGGGCCTAAAATGCTTCCCTGAGGAACACCGCAAGTTATAGGCATTAGTTTGGAACGAATATCATGAATGGCCACTACTTGGTGCCGATTAGATAAGTAGGATCTAAACCAATCTAAACTTGCCTTATCAAAACCCATTAGTTGTAACTTCTTCAATAAGACGCAATGATTAACTGTATCAAAAGCTTTTTGCAGATCAAGGAGCACCATACCAACAAAGCGCCCTGGGAAGTTTCTCTCCTCAAATAATCAGTCAAATGAATTAGACATGTTTCAGTCGAATAATCATGTCGAAAACCAGATTGAAATTCATAAATTATATCATTTTCTTTGAAGTATCTTTCAATTTGAACACAGACCGATTTTTCTAGAATCTTTGATGCTACGCTTAAAACACTAATAGGTCTATAGTTGCTAACATCAGTTTTATCTTTCTTTTTATAAAGTGGAGTCACTTTTGCTATTTTCATATCCTCTGGAAAAGTACTCGTCAAGATAGATAGGTTCATTAAGTAACTTAGAGGCTTAAATAAAACCTTCGCACCATCTTTTAGAAATTTAGCTGGAATCAAGTCTAACCCAGTACTTTTTGATACATTCAACTTACGTAACTCTTTGAAAACAAATTGTTCACTGATTGGTAATAACTCGAAGCTGTTTTCACGTACACCTTTTCTTTCGTAAAAGTCACGAATACAATCATTGTCTGCGCTGAAAAAGTCTTTGGAAGGGGGGAGTTTGTCTACTAATTTGGCAGCCACATTTGTGAAATGAGAATTGAATTCATCAGCGATGGCCATCTTATCATGACATAATTCCCCATCAATTTTAATGACAGATTCTTGTTCTTTTCGCTTCTTATTTTTCAATCCTAAGCTTTTTAGATTCTGCCAAAGTTTTTTCGAATCTTGTTTATTTTCTTCTATCTTGTTTTGTAAGTAAACGAGTTTAGCCCTTTTCACCTCTCTTTGGACCATATTTCTTAATACTCTGTATCTTTTATAGAGCTTCTCATCTTTTGCTCTTTTCCTCCATTTTTTGTATACTATATTTCTCTCTTGAATTAGGGAAAGAATATCTTTAGTCACCCAAGTTTCTGATCTTTGTTTTATTCTTATCCGTTTCAGTGGCGCTATCATATTCAAATTTGAGATAAAAACATGTTGAAATATTGACCATGCCTCATTTACATCTGTACAGTCAGTTATTCGTGACCAATCAACAACAGATAGTTGAAGATTGAAAGACTCTTCTGTATATTTTTTCATGGATCTGATATCATTAGTCCTGTGATGACCTATAGCCAGTCTAACATTTTTCCGTGTACAGAAAGTAAAATAATGGTCGCTAATACCTAGATCAATGACACCACTTTGACTTATTTTATTTTCTTTGGTACAACCAATATGATCCAATAGAGAAGAACATGTAGGTGTAACGCGTGTTGCCTCTTTAATGAGTTGACTAAACCCATGAAGACTCAACAAGTCAATATATTTTTTAGCCAGTGGCGATTTGCGAAGAAGACAAATATTCATGTCTCCTAAAAGAATTATTTCGTCATCCTTTTTAATGTATCAAGAATATTGGACAATTTCTCGATAAACAAATTGTTTTTCGGAGGTCGATACAGAACGCCAACAACAATTGGTTTTGATCTTGGTATAAGCAAATTTATCCACAGGGATTCCGTATCTCCAGTACTTACAGCATCCATAATATTAAATGCAATATCATTTTTGATATAGAAACATACACCACCTCCAGAGCCAGAGGATCGATCATGGCGTATGATTTTATATCCGTCTATTTCAATTTCTTCATCATTTATGGAATTGTTTAACCATGTTTCAGTGAAAGCAATAATAGACAGCCTTTTTCTTTTAAAAAGAATTCTAAGTTCCGATATCTTGTTTAGAATAGACCTCACATTGAGGTGTAAAAAATGAAGACCTTTAATTTTAAACTTTTCTTCAAATTCTTGAAAAAGAGAAGTGTTTTTATCTTTGAGGTTTGGCTGAATTATTCTTGCTATCGCTTGCTTTTCAGGTGTAACGCGCGTTACCTTAAAATAGTTTTCTTTTAGTCTATCCTCGTTTTGGCTTTCTTTCTCTAAACAATCGTCAGTAAATATTGATTCACAAAAAGATGGCAGACAACATGTTAAACAGTTCCACTTCTCATCAGGGCATTCATAATATAACCTGCGGTACTCTGAAAAACTGATAGCTTGACAATTAGTGTGAAACCATTTTTTACAATAAGAACACAGAAGGCCGTGTTGATTACATTTGACTGGCTTATCACAGTTCCCACAAGGGAACTTATATTTTCGACCGTCAACTATAATTTTCGGATCATCACTAGATTTTGTCAAACTTTCACTTAATTCAATACCCTTCTTACAAATTGAAGATAATTCGCCCAGTCTTTCATGTCCACCTTGGTACACAGTCAGTTTGGTACACATCTTTATACGCACTATAGAACCATCCTCAAGCTAGCTGCCCTTTAAAAAATCAAAAAAATCCCTGTAAGTAATCCAGCAAAGCACAGAGAGTCAATGCTAATGCGTATTGACCTTGAGCACTGCACTATTTGTTAATAGACAGTATTTAAATACATGAAGAGTCAATACAATCATAAGACACAAATGCAGACAATTATACCGATGCGGTTGATCGGCAAGTTTGACAGTGGACTCACAATTTAAACTTTTAAATTATTCTTTTTAACATCGGGAAATTGACAAAGTTGTATTTTACTGCTATTTAGGTGTCATCAATTGTCACTGAAATACCGATTTTGAGTGAAATTAGTTGAGTTTTGTACAGTGGTGTTTGAAACGTTGAGAATCAATAGCACAGCTTTTAATACACAGCCACTATAGTAATGCAGCTAGTGCTAGTGGTGGTACGCGGTATGGTAAGGGTAAACAACGTACGCATTATTCAGTTCGAAGCCGATCCGTGACTGAACCCGATTGAATGACAGATTTCAAGGAATTGATTGATATTGTTGTTTGAGTCGTACTCGAGGTAAGCTTAAAAATTAAGATTAGCACATGAGTTTGAAAATCAGGAACACCATGGTCTTTGTGTGTCTAATGGTTAATTTTGTGTTAATTAATAATGAAGCAGACACATAAATGCTTTGTTCAGTCCCGTGTATTGCAGACAGCGTTTGTTAGACATGTTAAATGTACACAATGCACACAAGATTCGACTTGAAGTTAAAAACATAGAAATCAAATGTTGTGCTTTTCCTGCAATGATTACTATTGTGCTGTGCTGAGTACCATAAAGGGAAAACTTGGAGAAAGATTATCACATTTCATGTTATTTGTGCAATAATCCTGTCATTAAAAAAAAAAGATTTGTGTTTATGGTTAGAATCTAGACCTATTCAAGAGAAAATGGCTGTAGGTAGGTATGTGACTAAAAAAATAAAAATTGTGGGATTACATTGTATCTTATATCATTGGAAAGGGCTTGAAAAACCATTTAAAATGGTATATAAACCATAGCTCTAGGACAAATATTTAGCGAGTTATGATTTTTTTTAAGATTAAAAATCTGATTTAATTATCGCCATTGTTTTACCATTGAGACCTCTCAAAATCTGTGACCGACCATGACCAATATAAAGGATGGTCTTATCAAAAATGTAAAAATTATTCATTTTTCTAGATAAAACCTTAAGGAAAGAACATGTGATAGGGGAAGAAAACCAATATTGTATTATTTGATGTACTATAGACCCTTCTATAATTAATTAGTAATTAGCAAATTAATTAGCTAACTAGTTGTTAATGAACTCATGCACTGCCACAAAAAGACAGACAAATTTCCGTAATTTCCTGACGATCAATTTTGAGGAAGTAAAAAAACAATGATTGTATGTTCCGATTTGATTTATATTCATCAAGTAACGAGAAAAATGTATAAATAAACAAATTAAATTAGTTTTAGAACTATTAAAACTTATCTTCAGGGAAGATTACGATGGTAAAGATGACATTGAACTTTGACTTGAACAAAAATGCACTTTCACATGTCCGTTTCTGAAAATTCGAAGTCGAGGCGAAAGGAAATTATTCCAATGACGTCATCAGACAAGCAAGCCAAATCTGGCGAGAAACCGCCGTTTCCACATGCAATCAAAGAGGAACCCTGCAGAGTAACTCGTATTGGGCGTGAAACTGCTGCCGGGCACGCTGAAACAAAGCCAATGTGTGCGATAGTCACATACCTACTGTAGGTCTAGGTCTAGTGATTTTATCTACCACTCATTCACTTTGTGCAGCACAGAAGATGAAGAGACTTTAGTGAATAGAAAAGGGACCCCTTTCCACCTCCATAGTAGAAATTTACATGCAAGTGTGCATACACACTGAGTACATGTAACTAGTGGCCTATTCAAGTTCAGTATTGAAGGAGGCAGATTGAAGAAGAAGAAGAAGGAAAAAGGGGATTTAACAAAATTATTGCTGACTTAAAAAAAGAGAGTTAAATTATGAAATATTTCATTTTGAAAGATAAAGATCCCTCCTCCATAATTCTGTACTTGAGACACTGTTTAGTTTCTGTAACATTTATTTTACAGGTGACCTCATAGATCTATATGAACATTGAATAAATGACTGTTTATAAATCCTTTAATACAAAATGATCAATTTCCTATAGAGTAGGACCGCCAAACTTCGGACGTTGCCAAGCTTCGGACAAAAATTACTTCAACGGCTTGCATGCATTTGATACTACTACTATCCTATCTCGTTAGTACAGAAAGTTAGGGCAGGTTGCCGTCTGCAAAACTCACAAAAAACATCGAATTCAGAGACAGATTTCAGGTAACCTAGATTTTTACAGTCCCTTAACAGGGGAGTTAAGGTGTAGAGCCTCCAATATATCGATTACAAACAAATCCTTGGCATATTTCAGGTGGTTTCTGCCAAAATTATGGGAGCTTATGAAATACTTTTTCACTCTATCGCGAAAATTTTCTAATGGCGGCCGTTACCACGGACGTAGGGGTACTAGATAGATTCCCCTACCGGAAGCTGGCGCTCTTCCAAGCTTCGGACAGGCAACATTGAGTGTCATTTTGACTACGAAAAAATAGCGCTTTCGTAAGATTTTAGCACCAAAATATTGTATGAGTGTTGCGAAAAACACATTTCTGATAGTTCTACCTAACTTAAATCTACCCAAAACGAGAAAATAATACCTATTTTCATGAAATCAACACAGTCAAACTTACCCCCGTCGTACGATTTTGATCCGGTTTCCAAACCTCCGATGAATGCGCACTTTAGCGCGCACGCTATACGTGCACTATACGTGCGCTACACATGAACGTACGTCCGAAGCTTGGCAAGTGCGTCTGAAGCTTGGCATGAAAAAAGGTTTGGCGGGTTAGTAAATAATTCTAGTTTTCCATTTCCTTTATTAATTTTCTTTTACATGACATACATAAACAGTATTTGCACAATAACTCATTCGCGACAATGGTTCTTAAAATATGATCGCGCAGGACACTCTTCAAAGAGGCAATCCAGCTAGCTGTTAAGGCCAGGAATACACCATTCACTGGCGGGGAAATGCATTTTATGAGGGACAATTTTTTTGCTAAATGTTTGTGATTTACATCAAATAAATGGAAATTAAATCTTTATGAACCATTCTTCACTTATTTGTGGCTGTCTCAAAGTGTGATAATGCTTATATTTATTCAGAAATATCCCTTTTTCATGCACTGATTGTAATATATATGGACTGAAATGCCCTTCGTGGTAGTGGATTAGGCCACATGTCTAGACATTGGGCTTTGGGCTAGTCGATTAGGCAAAAGGGGTGTTTAGAAATTATTCAACCAAAATAAGGGATGGAGTCAGGCTAAGTCATGTATTGAAAAATGTGATTATATTTCCTTGTATTGATATAATATTACATTGCTTTTTTGACCAAAATTGCAGTACACAAATTATCTGCTCGTCTTTTATCTATCTTCTAGTTCAAAATCCCCCCCTGTCTCAAAATGAAATGTATACGCGCTAGACGATCATATCGATATGGCTTGGCTTAGCGCGGGAAAGTCTGGCTAGCTGGGGCTACATGTATGTGTGTGTGTGTGTGTGTAGGCTGTAACTGGTTATACACACTGAAAGACATGTGTTGTTCATCATGACTCATGGTCTAGGAATGCAAGTAGTTAGACTGCCAACCAGGCATTGCTTGTAACAAGCTGAACGAATATTTCTTTGATAATGAGAAATAACGAATTTGGGTAGGATTCCCAATACCATAATTATTTCAAAAATTATTTTCGAATATCTGAATCACGATGAGTCTATATTTCAAGAGGAAAAACCAGCCACGAATTAATTTGAACATTATAATGGGCTGGTAAAATACTACTAGAAATTGTTGCCTATAGTAACCATAACACATCAACATAGGCAGATAAGCTAGCCCTGGCCCTGAGCTTACATAAATAAATTTGGATGAATGACCTCGACTAAACTCAGTGGAATTTCCCTTTATTATTCTTGAATATATTTGAATTCCAAAATTGTTATATTATTTTATTCCAGAATGTACAGAAATAAATACTTAACACATTTTGCTAAGGTTAATTGCTCATTTGTTGGCTAGATCTAGACTCTATAGATCTAGTCTTAATTCTTTTTGGGAAAGCAATTCCCATTACCATTCATAATCATATTTTTGACGTGGGCTAACGAGGTAAAAAAAAAAAAAAAAAATTAATTGTGTTCATTGACATTGTAGATTTAGATGTAGACTATTTTTTGTTCTTTCTTTACATAGGAAGTAGTTTTTGTTGTTGTTATTGTTTGTTTTCATCATTGGGCCAATAAGGCAGATATTAGGTCAGAGAGAAAGAAAGAAAGAGAAGGAAAGAAGGAAAAGAAAACACCTGCAAAGTCTCAGACACGGCCAGGCCAATTATTTATAGAATGGCATACACATCAGATACACTGTCTACAGTCAGTCACACAATGCACCCAACTCCACGCAGACAGCCTAGCCCATACACACATACACACAGACCATACATCACACAGTTTAGCCTACACACACACAATCACTGCTGCTGCACACATACATACACCCATCTAACACAGAGAATCGGCTCTGCTATAAACTGATTTTCGTCGAACAAAACTTACCATAAAATACAGGAAATAAATATAACATGCAAAATATGTTCACCAAAATGAAGCAAAATCACAAAGTTTTCGAAATAAAGTGAAAAAAAATAGATACAGTGAACAGAAATACCAAAAAAAAAGAAGAAAAAGAAGAGCAAAAAATGGATGGTTTATCGTCGCACAATCTAACTACAATACATGGAGGTATTCATGGCATGCGAAGTATTGCGATAGCTGTGATCGGTCTCACAAACGCGCGCGAACATGCCCTTGTTGCTAGGCAGAACTGGCGGGCAACAATAGCTTCTATGAATATTCATGTAGGCTCGTACAGATTTTGACTAAAACGACCAATAATGGGCCTTTTAAAATTCATAACTCATAGTAGGATTTTTTTCAAGTCTAAGGAAAGAGTGCTCTGATTGGCTAATATTTTTCTGCAGAGTTTGACTGACTCAGAGGTCACCAGACGTTCTAGTTTTTTTGTAAACACAGCAAACCACATAATGTGGTCGATTGTCGCGAATGAGATAATAGTATATTTGATCTTTCAATAATTAAAAAAGAATTTAATGTTTTCCCCCGTTTTGTCTTAAGTGTCAAAAGTTTGGCGGTCTTACTCTACATGTAAATTTAGGCAGGCTATTTTTTTTTTTTTTTTTTTTTTTTTTTTTTATTTATTTATTTATTTATTTTTATTTTATTTTATTTTTTTTTTTTTTTGGGGGGGGGGGGGGAGGTTACTGTGCTTCAATACAATTACAGTAATTTACATAGTATAGCGTACATGCCCATTATTCATAAGCCTTGGTTCAAGGTTTGTTGTATATTCTGCCTTTTTAGTAATCCCCACACAGGAAATTGAGAACATATAGTCACCTTGAAATATGACACATGTTTACATTATCTCCCCGATGGTTTGATGCAGTGCTGAGGTCACCCTCCCAGCATGAAACCTGACAGGTATCTGCTTCATCTATGAGTCTTCACAGGTCAAAGGTCAACCAGCCACAGTGACCCTGTGACCTCTAACCCAGTATGAGGCTGGAACTAAAGGTCACTCACACTCCCAACTCCAAGTCCAAGAGGCCATGGGAGAGATGGACATGGTTGGGGTCCAAGGTCAGTGTTTGAGCTCACTTTTTTTTAATACGTGATTGACAGTGAATCTCATTAAATTGGAAAAATTAAATGAAATTTTAAAGTAATTAAATCATATTTAAGCTTGATTTGAACTAGTATAAAATGTACACTTTACTTACATGTATGTACACTGAAGTATTTGTTTCTTTTTTATATTGAAAAATGAAATCCTTAAAAAAAAAACCTGCAAAACTTGATTATTGAAAATACTTTCGTACCTAGGATTTGCTTAATTCTTTCATAAACTAGAGTACAATTCTAGAGGCAAGTCTTTTTTTTCAAGCACATCTGCTGTACTCATTGATAGTTCTAAAATAACAAATTTTAACCATTATTAAAGCATATTGTGCAGAATAATGCGGACAGCTGTTTATCTAATTGATGCTGGGGTCGAGGTGGATATAAATGTATGTACATGTGTGTACATCATTTTGACATTTGACATTTTTGGCATAAAATTTAAGAATATATGAGAAGACATTCCTTCTAGATTTAATATCATGAAAGAAGCTATCGCTAAGGAAGGTAGAACTACATTCATCTTCAATAATCGTAAGAATTCTTTCTGTACGGCACTATGGATTATCATGAATAAAATTATGAGTATTATTATTTCATGATGAATAAAAAAAAAAATTGTTATGTAGAATACTGCTTGCTGTCAACTTTTAGACTGATTTTTCAATACATGTATACATGTATTCTAAAATTGAAGAGTATCATTTCATGCAATGATGACTAACATCAGAGTATAGAATTTGATTTGTTATTTTGGTAGCTCCTTAAAAAGGTGGAGGATAAATCAAAATCTACATGTGCCTGTTCATTTGTTGATATCACATGAACCCTCCTTTTTTCATCTATATGGCAACAGATTTGAAATGAGATCCGTGAAAAAGTTTTAGGATAGATTGGAAGTTACAGGTGCATTTTAATTTGTTTATTTTACATAACTGATGATGAACCGTTCTTCCTTTCATCTATAATGGCAAAACATTGCATTGAGATGAGATCCATAAAACCTACAAATTCTCCCCCTCCCCCTCTCCCCTCCTTGTATAGACTGGATCTGTGCTGCTCTTGGCCCAGGACCGAATCAAGGTACTCTATCTCCAGGAGAAGGGGAGCAGCTTTAAGAAGAAAGTGACAAAGCTGAGCAGCCTCCAGAACAGTGCCCTTGTCACCAGTATAACTAGAGATGGTATGAAAACTGAATGTTTGATACTTACAAAAGATCTATGTTTGTCATAAAAAACACTGTTTTCTTATTCTCATGTACTTTGATTTCTCTTCTGTATTAATTTTCCTTTGTAATTGTTTTTGTTTGTTATAGTGATCTTTTATTTGAATTGCTCTTTTGTCCCACCAACATGATTCATATAAAGAATACATTACTTTCCTCTTTAATGATATTCCAACACTTTCAATCTTGCATTCTGACATTGCGTGCTCCAAGCTACAAGGTATCAGAATTAATAGAATGAGTCTTAAATAGAAAGATGTTAACTCAACCAATACGGTTGTTTAGAAAATCATTTTTAGATTTTATTTAGAAAGGTAAACTGTCAGTACATCAAAATACCTAATTCTTGCTAATTTTAATATAATTAATATATTATAATTAAGCAACATGAATTTGTTCTTATTATTAATCTTTCTTTCCTCTTTGCCTAACGTTGTCTAATTGTCCAACCTGTATTATATTTAGGACAATATCTTTTGGGTACCTTGAGTCTGGAGACATCTTCATATGGAACAAGGATCAAGATACATTGAGAACAGTGAAGGGCCATCCCAGCATTGGAGCACCGACACAGCAAGGCTCAGGGCACAGTAAGTCTTTAAGGCGCGACTGTACTACTTGTAGCTACTTGCGCCCTCTATATAGCAAACAATGTCTAAACGGTGCCTGTTGGTCCCCACGATCCTCTTTTTCTAATGTTAATTGGGAGGTGATGTGATGAGATAATTCCCTGTCAGTCTCCTTGCAGGGAGGTCTAATCCCTCTTGGCCAAACTAGCGCAGACGGGCTTTAAATACATTTCGCAGGATTAATGCATTGTAAACTTATTATATTTGATAATAAAGCCTAAATCCAAAGGTACACCTCCGAAACCTTACCCAACCACAAAAACTTTTTGCTGAGTTGGTGATATATCAGTGGGAGAATAAAATGGTTCATGCTGGGGCTTTGGCAGAAGGTCTGTTCCCTATCTGCAAATGGAGCTAGCTTGCTTTGAAACATCAAGGTAAGGGATGGGGGGGGGGGGCTGCTGAGGGTGTGGTATGATGTGTGAGGATGAAAGTAGTTTTGTGAATTGTTCACAGTTTATTATCCCCGTCAAACAGAAATCATCATTTTGAAGAATGATTGTGCAATATGTAACATCAAAATTGGCTGAAGTTGGTGCCGTGGAAAAATAAACTAAACTGAACTGAACTGAACTGAGCATATGCATGACCCTGCATTTATATTTCATGTACAATTACATGTGAACTGTTATTTGGACATGTAGTGATTGTTCAATTGTTATCTTTACTTTGCTATTTCTAGGAACTGAAAGCATCCAGCTCTTTGCTTCAAACGACCTGCGTAACATCCTCCTCGTCAAAGGCCACAGGTCCATCTATCTCTGGGAAATTGACCAACCAGAATCGGCCTTGCGATCAAGGGAGTTGGAGCTTAAAGGAACGTGGTCTCTGATCGGTGGAGATAAGGCACCACTCCCAGGGGCAGACTCAGCTGAAGCTGTCAGCGATGCAGTGTTCAAGAACGATCATGTAAGATGTGTGCTTAGAGCCAGGTGTTGTTAAAGGCATCATTTAACAATGTTAAATCTGAGATGCATGGCCCTACGTGTTATCAGTGTCTGTGATATGGTGTAATATTGACGCCCTAACAAAGTTGCGCTTCAAAATGATCATGAAGTGCCTCAAAAAGTAAAAATGACCGGTTTTACCATACTCATTTTCCCCAATAGACTGTAGTGTTATAAAAACCGTTAGGAAGACGCAAAATTTGATTTTGATTTCCAATCCTTATTATCTTTATAATCAGACAGGCGATCGGCTTGTAAAAGTCATGGGGTTCCTGACTGACCTAAAGGTCTATAATTATGATTACAGCGTGAGCTAAATCCCGGATTTGTTTCAGAATCTGAGGCAATGTTACCGAGTCACTAAATAATTCTGCATGGAGCTAATGTTCTTCTGGTGCTCAGTTGATGAAGTGAATCTCCTCTTTTAGCATCTTAAAGGAAGATGGTAGTCCATGTTTCCATGTGCAGTAGGTCATAATTTGCTGAAACCAGGCTTGCTGGAATTACCATTAATGGGTGTACAGGTCCTGCACACAGCAAACCCATGGTCCCATCAAGAAATACCCTGTAGTCTCTTGGAGAGTCTTTGGCTGAGGGAAATGTTAAACTTTCCCATTTGTTAAGTGGAAAATGCAGAACATTACATAAGGCCTGTTGGTCACAGAAGTGAAGGCTAATCCTGGTGATTGACAACACCTGTTATTGGGTAAATACCAGAATGGTCTGCCTATAATCTGGTATAGATTGTCAAATTGATTAATTTTGTTATTTTATTTGAATGTAATTTAAAATTTGCCTTTTAACTGTACAGGTATTGGGGCGGAGCTGTGTGTGGTCGGTGGTATTCTACCAGGGGGATGATATTCAGATCTCAACAGTACTGATCAGGTGGTTTGAACCCTGGCACCATGGAGGCATGCAAAGGTGAGGGTCCTGTGGTTAGGTGCCTGTGAAATTAGAAATTCAGTTTGTTAGATACATGTTTATTTGTTAGGTACGTGTATATATGTTTGTTATATATTCAGTTCAATTCAGTTCAGTTTAATTTATTCATTCTTCTCAAGCATAAAACCAATATTAGAATATATACAAAAATGGCAAATATACATAGTAAGAGATAAAATTTGTATAAAAACTTGTACAGAGTAGTTTTCAGTAAAAGGAAAAATATTTACATGTACATGTAGATAGGAGAAACAGAGAGGTAGAGATGAATGAAAGAAGTAGTTATTCACAATGACCCAGCAGCTTTCCTGAGACTTGTCCACCATAGCAAACTATTGACATGCAATGTTCTTACAGAAACAGTAAAATTGGATTTCATTCATAACATTTGAACATTTTTTTTCAATTTTATTTTTCTATCTATTCAAATGAAATGTTATACAAAATAGTGTCTGCCAAGATTGAAAAGGGTTTTACTTTTATCAATGCTGCAAAAAGTATTAAAGCCCTTTTGTTTTTTAATGGACGATATGATGGCATGGATTTGTTAACTATTAGCAGACATCACATACATACCGATCTACTCTCCTGTACAGGCATCCTGCATTCTCTGTGCGATGGCTCTCAAGCAAACATTCCATACGTAGTCTATCGCCCTCTAGCTGGCCGGTGAACCACCACGGTGCCCTGGTAGCCTCCTACAACAACTCCGGTAGCGTGCTTGCCATAGCGCTCAACCAGCGGTCGCCCCACGAGGCCAAGATGGCGTTTGTATCGCCCTTGACAGCTGCGGCTACTGTCGTTGACATGAAGTCCTGTGGATGTAAAGCCAGGCACCCTCATGCGGATCATGTGAAGTAAATATCCACTTTCCTAATAGTAAAGTTTTTGGGGAGTCAAACAATGTTGGATGGGTGATTTCAGCATGCTTGTGATTGGTCTATGGTCAGGGTTGCTATGGTATTATGGGGAGTGGCAATGGAGAGTGTCAGTGACTTGGGTTGGGCCTATAAGTCATAGTTCTTGGAATGTGGTTCCTTGAAGTTAACTCTCTGGGGCGGTCATTAATGGTCAAATGCTTATAAAAGAAAGATCATGGGGGTCAGTGTCTAGGAATAATGGGGTTCTGTCTAGGGATAATGGGGTTCTGTTTTAGATCATTGAGGTGAATGACTAAAGGGAGATAGAAGTGATACAAGTACTACATAACACTACACTATGAAGTTTTTTTAAAGACAAAGTTCATGTTTACAATGTATTTTATTTGACCATATGTAGGTACCATTACTTAATAACCCTTGGGCAGCCTCCAAGTTCACAGGAGTTTCTCTCAAGGAATATTTTTCTCTTCTTCATCATGGAGCTGTTTCTCTTCAAGAAAGAACAATTCTTTGTTGTGCGAGTAACTGTATTTATGTAATTTCCAAATACAGTTACTGGCACAACAAAAGCTTCCCAGGAAGCCTAATATTTAAATCAAGAGAAGTTGGATTAAAAGTCTTTTAAGATGATTCAGTTGGCATTGGGCTGATTAATATGAGTCCTTCCAATATGATGTAGCATAAACTTGATGGCATTGATCTTGTACATGGTAATAATACTGCTCATATGTGGTACATATACGTTAATATATACAGTCAAACCTGTCTACAGTGACGGCCCAAGGGAAACACAAAAAGTGGTCTTTGTAGACAGGTTCCTTTAGTACATGCTTCAATGAGAAACCATTTTCAAGAGAAACAACAAATGTGGCCTTTGTAGACAGGTGGTCTTTATTGACAGGTGGTCACTAAAGCAGGTTTGACTGAAGATATACTTGTATAATTGTGCTATGATTGTCCTTTCTTGGTTGTCCTGCAGGACCTACTGGATATCAGACATGACCTGGACGCACAACGACCTCTTCCTGGTGTGTATCAACAAGCGTGGTGCCCTTGCCATCTTGCCTCGTCTCAGTGAACCCATACTCCTGCAGAGTGAGGGCTGCTCAGTGGAGCATCCTCCAGCATACTTCTTGCCAGTACTCAATCTAATCACCGTCTTGTAAGTCATCGATGTGAAACCTGGGCCCTGTTTCATAAAAATTGTTATAATAATAATAATATCAGATATTTATATAGCGCACATATCCACTATGCAAGGTACTCAAGGTGCTCCGAATATTGCCCAGCTCTGCTAGGCTGCCGATTTCGGCGCTCACAGCATTCAAGAAATTACTTCCTACAGGTACCCATTTTAACACCTGGGTGGAGAGTGGCAAATGTAGATTAATGTCATGCCAAAGGACATTAGTGCCGTGGCGGGACTCGAACTGTGGACCCTGTGATCCACAGTCCGACGACTTATCCACTAGACCACACCACCTCAATAAATAACAAGTCGCAATAACTGTTATGAGCTACTGAAAAAGTAGCATCTGCAGGTTGGCTGGGAGCAGATTTGTCAAAGAAATTTAGCATTTGTTATTGATACTAAGTTTTATGAAACTGGGCTCAGAAGGATTTGTGTGTGGCCCAAATTTGCAGAAGTCCATGTTGTCAAAATAATTGAACCACATCACTGCTGAAGTCTATAAATTAGAGTTTGATGTTGGAAAAGTAACTGTTGTTTTGATATGTTATTTTTTATTTTGTTATTTATTGGTATGTAGGGGAAACCATGCATATTAGGTATAAAGGGTCCGTGGTTGAGTCAGTTGTAGCCCCCCCCCCCCCCCCCCCCCCCCATTTATGCAAGGTGTTTGTGCAAATGATTAAAAAAGGTTCCAGGTATATTGAATTTGAGTATGACGTTGAGTGGATAATCGAAACTTTACAATAAAAGAAATGGATTATAGTGGTCCATGTATGATATTAGCTAATAAATATTGAATCACTTCTTTGTTTTTCCTTCCACACAGGAAGCCAAGTTCTCTTGGTGGTGACCGTCCACCATCCCCTACCAGCTCCCTCACATCGGAATCAGACGACGGACGACAGCGCTTCTCTGTCTCCTGCCATTCTTCCAGTCCCATGATCCTTTGCTCTGACGGGTATCTAGGGTTAGTCATGGAGCTTCCTGCTGACCTGTCCTGCTCCAGCATCCTGGGAGACTACCTGAGCGAGGGCGCTACAGCGCTTCACCTCATGTACTCTGCGCGGGACCTCGGGCCTGTTGGGCTGGGGTCGTTACGGCGCGAGCCAGCAAGCCCCCACCTACAGTCGGCCCAGCAAAGGACGTTCTCTAACATGATAGACATGCTGGCCACTGCCGACAGTGTTGGACTGGAGAGTACACGGAGCAGTGAGGTCGGGTACAACGGACCCTTCGGAAACATGACCTCCGGGAAGATGATCTTTGATGATACCGCCATGATGGCGTCCACGCAATCACTTGGGTTCCTCCCCATGGGAAATCATAGCATCGAGTCGTTGATTCAATGGACCCAGACGGCCGCTCTCAGTGCTTGGGGACTTGGCATCAGCCATGCAGGACCGTGGGATAACCGCCTTGAATACCTCATGCAGTACACGATCAGAGTCTTCATGGCTTTATTCTGGATACTCCTTCGTGACGACGAAGACATCAAGCTTCCAAAGCAGACGCGAAAGAGCGTAAGTGGGACTGAGGTTGGTGCAATAGATCAGAAACTCGGCAAGGTGCTATCTCTTTACAAGGCCATTCTGTCGTCTTCCTTATGGGACTCCTTTGGGAGTCACTCCATGTACTCTTATCTTCGCTTGACCCGCTCCCTGGTCAAACAACTCCTCAAGGGTCAGGTGTGTGACCAAGCCAGTATGACAAGGTGCTGTATTGCGGTGCTACACACTTCTGAACAAGTTCTATCCAGGGTCTACACCAGGAGGCCCGTATCAGAACCTTCTTATCATCTTTCTCAGCTGAGCTTCCATCCATCCGGTATGTCATTTGAAGGTGCTCTGACACCTGCTTCGATGATAATTTCATCAAAGATTTAGGGTTAGGGATAGAGTTGCAATTGGCTTTTAGTTCGGCTAGGTATAGTGTTTGGTCAGAGTTGAAGTAAGGAATTAACTTAGTGTAAGGAATCTACCATGGAGCTATTGTTTGCGGAAGCATATGTCCTACAAGCCATTTTGACATTTATCAATCTACCGGTATCTAAAATTTATTGTGAAATTTGAATTTTGTTAATCTATCAAATGGAAACCCATTTTGCATGAGTATACAGTGACTTTGAAGAGGTTAATTTTCCAATCAGCTAAGTGAATCGTTTGTGATTTGTGATTTTTTTTTTTTTTGGGGGGGGGGGGGGAGGACAAACAACTACTTAACAAAATATGCACATTGTCAAGGCCTAAAACTTCTTCTTTTGGAATCATGCTCACAAAAAATTTGCATGAATTTTTTTCCTGTATAAGGAAAAAGATGTCTTGTTTTTCCTAGTCCATATATTCAGTGTATAGCATGCCACAGATCTTCATATTTTTCTGCCAGTAGCACAGAGGTTATTGATGTTCGTACAGATTTTCTTTACATTGGTCATCAGGAAACTGCTCAGGTTAGATCCTGCACTGCTACAAGGCTTATTAACAAATGCAAGGACAACTCCAAGTAAACAAAAAGATTGTAAATCCTGTTTACTGTCATTATAGGTCAGTCTCCTCTGCACCAGACTACTTACATGTAGGTAGACTAAGAGGTACTTACATACAAGTAGATCTATACCATTTTTTTCTCTTTTTTTTCCTCACTGCCTTCCTTTCAAGGAGATTTATATTTCTTATTGATTTAAATAAGTAGCACTTTGTTCATGATTTTGTTTAAAGCGGTATTAGAATACAAAGTATTAGGATAATAAGAGTGCTCTTTGGTGTCTTACCCTATCCTACCAACCCCCCCCCCCCCTTCCCCCTCTCCAGAAAAAAGGGTCCACTTCTGATTAACAGGCTTTGTTAATTAGAGGGTAAACAATGATGCAATATTTTCTCCTGGGTTCAATTTTGTCAAAGACATAGGGGAAGACAACTTGGGTTTGTTTTGAGGGTTAATGTGATATCGATGGTTTAAGTTTCAAAATTGACCATGGTTACACATTTGATAAATAATAAGTACCTACATTGAGTGTATTCTATGATTTAGTTTTACACATAGTTTGTCTTTTAATTTTTTCCTTCACAGATACAGTAGAGCATGCACTAGCCGGCCAAAGAATGCACCATCTTGCCATCATGCCCCCCTCCTCGCCCTCCTCCTCATCCTCCACCAAAAAAAACCGTAAACAAGCAACTCGGTCTGAACGATCCAGATCAAGAGGAGAGGGCTCGGCGAACAGCCAACGAGGCAAAAGGAGAGAAACGAGGAGCGAAACATCCTCGTTACCATCTCCAAAGAGTGACCTGGCCCCAACCCAGGGACAGAGGGCGCCCTTGTCACAAGGTGGCGCAGTGAGCAGAAGGTAAGTGATTTCCCGTGTGAGAGGTTTATTTCCTCAGCTGTGTTTGCACATGTCTGCATTGCGATCATGTTGGCGCTCGCGCAAGGTAATCCACTTCCTGCATGCATTAACGCTCGACTGAGTTCACACGTGGTCTCCATTTACTTCTTCTATTCTAGGAGGTTAAGTATTTACCAATATGTTGTGTTGACATGACAAAGGAAACACGTGTTGTAGAAGCTGTCTCGAAAGGATACCTGTCTACAGTGGCCAGTCTTCCTATTTCCATTCTTCCTATTTCCATTGGCTGGCCTGTATACAAAGGTTTCACTGTATGCATATTCATAGGCCACAATTGTTTTGCAAACATTAATTATAAAACAGCTGTGTCATTTTCATTACTACAGTATGCCAAATATCCCTCAATCATCCACATAGAAAGAAATAAAAATGTACATACACCGAAGGTCAATTGAAACAATTCATACCCAGCATTTTTTCAAAAACATAATTTCATGAGAAGCACACAAGATATCTCTGTGCACACACTCAGGGCTACCAAGGCTGTGACCAAGGGAGAATGATATGCTAAGAATAGAACCAAAAAATGCTGGAGGCTAGAGAGTTTCCAACGGTGATACTCCCTGCATGCAAGCTCAATTGTTGATTGATTGCATTTAGTTCTAATACCTGCATGTATTTGCTTTAATCGTTATAATGAACCACCTGAATTTATAAATACTTCCCCGCAACTTTCTTTCTGAGCAGATTATAACCCTTTTTCTCATTCTGACACTATAAAATAAAACAATTAGCCTGTTATCAAGACTGTGCACTTTATAAAAAAACTATCTGAACATTTACATGTATAAACTGAAAGAGGACTAATCTATTACTCCTATGCTTTTTGCTTTGTTTATTTGGTGTTCTCTGGTGGAGTACTTTGGATAAGGAAAAGATATAATAACATAATAATAATATGAATGATAACATTTTGTATTTATTTTTATTTTGTTGTGTGGGGGGGGGGAGGGGAGGTGATGTTGGTCTCCTGTAATAGTGTGTGTTCTTTTCAAAAATGCTGTAAATTGACATTGGCAGCGGCACGTGGGGGGGGGGGTGTTGGATGCTAGGGGGCTAGTTTGACCAAGAAAACCTACGTATTGGGAATCAATAAATGTTTAAGGAATCAATAAAATGTTGAAGTTCTTAAGTCATGTGGTTTTAACAGCTAGGAAGCAGGCCATAGTCAAGGTTAGATCAAAGGATTGTCCAAGGTTGGAGGATTGCCAGTATGGAATCAGATTTTTTTTTAAATTCTTATGATTCATGATTATGAAAGGTTCTTCAATCTTTCATTAAATACAAATGCATGCTTCTAAAAATATCCCCATGGCCCTCTCAATTAATCTTTCCAAACACATTGATAAATTCTTGTGGCCATTAGACAAAAGAAAAGTATGAACTAGTTTGAACTGCATCTCGGAACAAACATGAGCTTTTACTTTGATTTGCATTATTTGAAATAATTGTTGAAATTGTTGAAAACTAAACTAGCTTTTGTATTTTAATTTGGGGCTGTGTTTAGGGTTTGCAGAACAATAGTCATTGTTTTTAATTAATGTTTAATGTTCAAGCAAGTTGTAATTGTAGATGATACAGCATTGTCCAGACAATAAGTGGAATTCAATCAGATTTAGATTTTAGCAGAATATGGGCCAATGAGTTTTATAAAGATCATCGTTACTTTCTCAAGTACTGGCCAGATCTGAACAAAATTACACGATTCTGTGAATTTCCCATCATTTTTAAATGCTGCGTTTTCTTCAAAACTTTCCTTTCCCCAACTTTTGAAGGATATTTGGTCGATTATTGGATACTCTGGCTGGAGCCCCATCATTCCCTATTAAGTATATTTTAGCAGAGGTTAAAGTCTGTTATGTGCTGACAATTGCTGAATTGCTTGAAATAATGAGTTCTCATCAAGGGTTGTGATCATTGCCACACTTTTTAATGCATCCTACAAACTTCTTGACAATTCACTGTATCCTTGCATTCTTACATGTATGTGCAGCCTAATTCATGTGCTGGCAAACTCACAAGGATGTTCATTGCCTGCAAGGGAAAGTTTCATTCTTCTTCATTAAAAGAGCCATTACACTTTTATGGAAAATATATTTGTATTTTTTTTTCTCAATATTGCTGCATTACACCTTTGTAGTAATGTTGCCAATATAAAATCATTCGGTCTTGGCTTTCATCATAAAAAAAAGAGATATTCAATTAAAATGATGTCTTTAATTTTCCATCTGGCCTTTCCCTCACCTATTCTCACTTCCTCTCCTCCTCTTGCTCTTCCTTTTCCTTGCTCATCCTCTCCACCTTTCTTCTCTCTTTCCCACTTCCTTCCTCCCATTTCTGTCTTTTTGTCTTTTCCCCTCTCTCCTCTCTTTCCTTTCACCTCCACTATATGATCAGCTATTAAAACTCTCCCCAACTTTGCCTCCCTCCCCTTCTCTCGATGCCTTCTTTCTCTCTCTTTCCTTTTCATTTTCTCCTCTCTATCCCTCTCTCCTCCCCCTCTCATTCTCCTCTCTCTCTTTCCTCTTTCACCATTCATTGCCCAGTGGATTAAGATTCCGTGGAACCACATCCAGGTTCATTCCCTGGATAACAAGCCCCTTGCAGATCAGCTAGGAGACACTGATTAACAGGGTGCAAACAGGGATGACTCACACCAAATTACGAGCACATCTGAACAGATCAAATTGATATCATCCTGTTTTGAGCTCACAAAAATGTTCTGACTACAAAACCTTTTCAGCTGCAGCCCCTTCTCTTTGAAATAATTTACCATTGAATTTGAGAATCATAATTTCCTCTAAGAGACCTTTAAATCCAAGCTGAAATCTCATCTTTTTAAACAATTCCTGTACTTGGCACTATGACACTCATCTAAACACTCTTATTCTTTCTATTTTTCTTGTGCGCCTCGGAATAGAATTGTCTCGATAGACAGCGCTATTCAAATGCCTATTATTATTATTAACGTGTAACGTCAAACCTGCTTTAGCAACCATCTGTAAAGGAAGACAACCTGTCTATAAAGACCAATTTTGTTGTTCCCCTTGAAAGTTATGGTGGTGGTTATTTTTACCTGACTGCTAAGAAAATTCTTGTAAGTAAGCAAAGTGGTTTCTCATTTAAACGTATCATGTAATAAAGGAACCTGTACACAGAGACCACCTGCCTTTAAAGCACACTTTTCTTGTATTCATTGAGTGGTCTTTATATACAGGTTTCACTGTATGATCATGAGTTATCATGTCTGATCCAGGGATTCAGCTGGAATGGGATCACTCGGGTAGGTCATTTTTGAAGAATTCCTTTAAACCCATTGCATTCTGGAACCAAGTGTTCCATTATTGAAGCCTATGGGAATAAGAGAATTCCGTAGTCAACAGGTTAACATGCAAGTTGTTGGACTGTGGATCACGTGGTTTGTGGCTTGAGTCCTATATAATGTCATTTGGCAAGACATCAATCTCCATTTGCCACTCTCAATGCAGGTGTTAAATGGGTACCGGTAGGAAGAAATTCCTTGAATGCTGTGATCACCGAAAACGGTACCCTAGCAGAGCCAGGGTAATATTGGAGTGCCTTGCAGAATGACAAGTGCCTGTGTTCCCCTTTCCTATCAAATGAATACAATTACATGTACATGTATATTAACTAACTTAAGAGTTGGGACTGTTTGAACTGTTTTATCCTATTAAGAGATATTGTCATTTAGTTGGATAGTATACAGTGTTCTGTTACCTTGTGGAATTATGTTCGATTTAGAGGAAGGGAAAAACATGTATGAGTCATTTTGGGTTACAGCGGGGCTAATTGTACGCCAGCCAGTGTATGCATGTAGCTGTCTTCCACACTTGTATCGAATGAGAAAAGATGTGCAAACAGGTTTGTGTAACCACTTCCCTTTCTAAATCATTTCCCCTTCCCCTGGTTCCCCCCTGCTATTCTTCCTGTCTGTGACTTTCGTCTCCCTCCTATCCCACTTTCCCTCTAGTAATTTACAAATTGAGTTGTCCCATCCTGATTGCAAGTAATGTTAATCTGTTGATGTTAAATTATTAGTCATCAAACATTAAAGCCCCAATTTCACATGGATTACATCCTGTCAGCTTGCAGACACCTGTCATTTGCTAGACCACCAGTAGACATGCAGGTCCATACATTGACATGTCATGGTCACATAGATACGACTTTGGACTATGGATCAACTACATGTATATGCCCCTTGGTACAAGGAGTTGCGTTTTATCATGATCGATGTACATGAAAGCCGCCTATAAAGCGCAAGCCAAATCCAGTGACTGGTTTATCTGCAAGTGATTCAGACCAAACCCTATTAAGTGTGGAGGGGGTCAGGAGTGGCCCTTCTCCATACCGGTACGTACATGGAGGCCTACAGTACCTGCATACCTGCCCTGCTCCAGTGGCCTAGGAATCAAGTGGTTGAGGCTTACTCGATCTCCAGGCTGGACGAGTCCTAGTTGAATTCTACAACACTTGCCCTGGCAACTTATGATCAGTTTAAAATTGCTACACTAACAGAATTCCCAACTTCAGGGTCCAACACTTATAAACCCTAACCCTAACCCTAAACTTAAACCCAATTACAATACATTTCCTAACCCTATATCATTAACAAAATACAACCTTTTAAAGCAATTGTTGCCCAGAGCATTTATCAGATAAACCTGAGCGGAGCACTGCATTTTGCATCTTTGCCCAAATAATTTGGATATACGTGCATGTAATTTGATCTTGAAAATTCTGGAACACTTTTTCAATTTTCCCCAACTGAATTGCATCTTTATTTATAAGCAAATTCACCTCCATAAAGTAACCTCATCTCCCTGCCTTGAGCCAAGTTTGGTGGCCCACACGTCTGGCTCATATACTGTACAAACCTCTACATGTATACGGACACGTATACCACGGTGACCCCTAGTCCGCAATCCGGTCACTTAAGCCGGCCACGCACGTACGCCAGCTATTCCCCACTCCTGATGACGGATAGTCAACCTGTTCGAAACGTCAAGCCCCTCCTACTACCCATCCCCTCCAACCGGCGCTATATTTCTCTTTAGAACTATAAGCTCAAAGAAAGATAACCAACAGTCATTTTCAGGACTCCCCAATCCCCCCCCCCCCCTCACATGGTGCAACCGTATAATAGCCTACTTAACTGTATACATATGTAGTCTCATGTCATGTATTGAAGGAAATTTCAAATACTTTTTGATAGGTGACAATTCTTTCCCACAATGTAAACAAGTTCGTTCATAAATACTTTTTCATAGGGTGCATGTCTATTGTAGATGAAGATGATAGGTAGCGATTCATTTTGATTTTTTTTGTAGTACTATTTTTCTATGTGAGAAGTATACTGTAGCCTCAAAGACTGATACTACCGGTAGGTCCATTTACATTTACACAGTCCCAACAAACATTTTGAAAAACCATTGGTTTTTGTACTGCCATTTGAAATACTTGAACAAAAAACTTAGAAAACGTCAGCGTTTGACAGTTGTGTTTTTTCGATAAGTTGTGTGCTTGCACCAAAAACTGGGAGGATTCACACTCTGTCAGCATTTTAAAAAAAAAAACACTCCAGAGGTGGGTTTGTTTTATTTGGGGTTCATGGTTAGGTTCTTAA